TCCTGGAATCCCTGACAGATTGCAGCTGCAATAGTTGCAACAGGAATATTTTTGATTACTTTTTAAGGCAATTTTTGTGGCAATTACATTTCCATTTCAATCACCACTGAACAGGCCTTGCCTTTGACTTTTCTTTTTGCCAAAAATAGAACTTATTGCCTGTCAAGTTTGCCAAAGTCGTTTACCTGTCAAATGCCGTAATTTTAACTGCAATTTTGAACTTTTGACCCTCTGCCGTGTGCCCTTTGCCCCCTAATTTTCAAATATCCAGCCTGGCAACACATCCACCAGCCGCCTACAAACAATTACCACAAGTGTACCCCCCCTGAAAAGTTCATTGGGGCACCACTTGCCCCCACTCCCACGGCGGAAATTCAATTCCTTTTTCCATCTGACATTTGTAGCCGTTTGGCGACCAACTTTGGCCAAACTGCCATCAATTTCGGTGGTCAGGCGGTGGCAATTAATTGAAGGACCCATGTCCTTTTCAGTCGTTGCCTCAACCGCGCCCCGCAAAATCATATTCATAAATTGCCGGGTCACACTTGCGGCCAACTATTAAACATACAGATGGCGAAGTGGTAACCGGAGTGGAGTGGAGTGTGTGGATTCCTCCTGTGTGTGTGTGTGGTCGCTGGTCTGCGGTGGTCTGCGGTGGTCTGCGGTATCGATGTCCTGGAATCGACAGCAGGAGCAACAGCAGCAGCAGCAGCAGGACAATGGCAGTTGGTGTGCCATTTGTGTGAAGTGTGCCTTCGATAAGAGTTAAGCCAGTTGGCCAGTTTGGGAGCCAGTTGGAGCGGCAGACGGCCGATCCGGTTTCAAAACAAAAGTTTATGGTTACACTTGAAGCTCACCCATGTGGATGATGATTAAATGTTCGCTGCTGACCATACTTCGCTTTGAAAGCATGCCACACCCCATTGCAGCAGCGGCTCCTGGCCGCTTCCAGCATAATTCCCGCATTAATGTTGTCGATTTCAATAAAAACAGGCAACATTTTATGCTTCAGCAAGCGCATTTTAATGCGAAACTCAAACATATACGAGATAAAATAAATATATTCGTTAAGGTACAGAATGTACATATGTATGTATGTCTGATTATAACTCATACGCCCCGTGTGCAACGGCCAGGAACCGCGAAGAAGGATACGGGCGGGTGGCCGCAGGAGGTAGCAAGGGGCAGCCGGAGTCTCCGGTCTCTGGGGCAGTAAAAACAGCAGCTGCCCGACATTATTTTCTCGCAGCACTGGAGCAATGCGTGACCAATCCAACAGGGGTCGCAAATACTGGGCCAACTTCCCATGTGAACCTGCCGCAGACACTGCAGGATATGCACAGCGAAAAAAATGGTAAAAGTTGATTAAAAATTTATTGAAATAATGGCTGGTGGTGGTGGAAGTTTTTCCTTGTTTTCAATAAAAAGTTTGTGAATTGGTAAATACAAAGAAAAGTTAAAGCTTTTATTAAAGAACAAAGAATTTAACATTATTTTATGTATTTATTTTGACTTGGATTAAATTTAAAATGTATAAACTTAGTATTAAATTTCTCTCACTGAATTCGTAGGACTCTACAAAGCAAACTGGCAAAAGTCCGTTGAGTCCATTATATAAACTCTCTTTTAATAATAGCTTTGGCTAGCGGTAAATGGCGTCGCATACTCTCATCGTCGTCCATCGCCGTCCATCGCCGCCATCTTCTCCATCTCCAGTTCCGTCTCTTCTGCTGCCCAGCCCCTATTTGTAAAAGTATTTGCATTCTGCATAATGTGCAGTGGCCGAGTGTAATTTAGATAAGCGGATAAGCCCGAGTCCAGAGCAAACTAATTAAGGATTACACTTTGGATGGCCATATGCGTTTATGGTTTTTTTTTGTTTCGCCATTGTTATTCCTATATTCGCCCGCCGGCCGTCAATCAATCCATCAATCAATGTAGATCAATTAAGTGCCATTAAATTGGCATTAATCATGAAAGCATGGGAAAACATTTGCCATGTTCTCTTCTAGTTTTATTTGTAGCTTAATTAAATTTTCCCATATGCAGAGAGTAGGGCAGATGAAGAGCAAATAAATATTTAATTATTTGGCAACATGCTCATTTTTAAAGTGCAACACGAACAAGAGAACGTTACCAGCACTGTGAAAAAGTATTGGAAAGCGGTATATAAATCAGAGCTTAAATCAAACAGTGTTGCTTATTTCTTTATTGCAAAACCATGCTTTATAGGTTTCTAGTTGATCTTAACCTAAACTCATAGATTAGGACTAAAGATTCCTCCAATAACTAAGCATTTGAGTATTACTTTTTCCTCAGTGCTTAAATCAAACATTTTCGCTTGGTCCTTTGGTTCTTCCCTACCCAAAGTCCTGGCTATGCCCTGACTGTGTCCTGGCTGTGTCCTGACTGTGTCCTGGCCTTTTGCATAAGCAAATACGCGCAATTCACAAACACGTGACGCTTGTTTTTTCAAGTACCCCCTCGAACCCCTGGTGGCCTCTTTATTCCCGGATTCCCAGAGTGAATGGGCCTGGTGACTGGTGAGTGAATTGGACTGCTGAGTGAGTAAATGATGGCGATGGCGATGGCGACCAGTTCATGGTTCAATGACAAGCAACTTTCAGTTTGCGTGTGCTTCTCGTACTCTGTGCCATTTTATTCTCTTCTGATTCGTTTGGTTTCATTTCGTTTCTTGTTTTGTTTTTTTGTATGCTAACTGACTGAATTCCCTAGCCCTCGCTCCACCTCCCATCTATGATACCAACAGCTATTTGTCTGCGGTTTGGCACTCCCCCACCAATCCCCCAGTGGAACCGCCCCCCGAACCGCCGCCCACGTTCACCTGACGGACTGGGCTCCTCTTGTTGCGTTTATACATTATTTTTGTATTTTCTGTTCTGCTTTCTGTGTCGGGGCAATCGTTTAATTATGTACTACATTTGGGCGGGCCTTGGCTGGGCGGAGGATTATGTACTGAAGCCACAGAACAATTACGGAATTTGCGACACAATTTGGCGGAGAAGTTTCTGGCCAAAACATTAAATGTCAGCTCATATTTTTTGGCTTTTTAATCCAATACTTTGTGGATACAAAGTGCTGACCTTTTAGACTATCAATTACAAATTTCACTAAATCATAAGTATAATATTACAACCACTTGCCATTCAAATACAAATACAAACACCAACTTGAAATTGACTTTTCGCACTTGTGCTATAATCACAGTCATTACACAATCCTCGATTACAACTGAAGCAGCTATTAAATCTAATCTGAAGAGCATTATTTGCAGCCAATATTGACTCTCTAAGCGGCCCAAAGTAGTGGCCATTAGACACCCCTCCTCCCCCTCGGCCAAAATTTCTAATTACTGTTGTAATGTGAGTTGTTCACGCAAACATTTTCCCAAAAAAAAGGCTCATTTTGCAATCAAGGCTCATTGAGAATGGACTGAAGATTGGAAATTATCGGAAGGAATGTTATAGCCGGAATGGAATCATATAAACATAACACTACCGATTTATGATATTTTCGGAAAGCTGCGATATATTCACGCCTACGGGCCAGAGCGCAGAACAAACATTTGCATAATGAGTTGGCCATTTTATGAGCCATATAACCTTTGCCACGTGACGCAAAACCCCTCTATAAAGAGGAGGAGGAGGGGCAGGAAAGAAAAGCGGAGGCGAGTTTCCCTGGCAGGCAAAGTTAATTGAAAATGGCTGGCTGGGTAAGGAACAGGCAAACGAATTCCTTCGGGATATACTGGCACCTTTGGCATTTTATTTGCCAGGCATATTTGATTACGGGCTCCTTTTCATATCAGATGTCAAAGGCTTTCAGGAAGCCATCACACTCCGGCGTGAACTTTTTAGTATTTCCATGTCAAAGCATTGAGCCAAGCCGTGCAAAGGGGAAAAATCATTGAAGCCCGTATCGTTAGATGCAGACATTACATCAGTTGCCTCTTAAATGCATCTTCGAGTGCGGCAACGATATCCTTTTTTTAAGCGGGGCGGTATGTGGAGGAGGATGTGGAGAAGGATGGTAGGCCAAAAGGATCAGCACTAAGAGTTGCGCATCCTGCCAGGTTGCAGCTATCTGCGGCGGACACGTGAAACCATCATCAATCTAGGAGCACTGCCAACGACAGTTTTAACGACTTCTTGCGGATTACTTCAAACAAAATAACCACTTTGTAGTAGGAATTTTATGTTGGCCCGGTTGGTGTTGATGGCTTTGCCTTCGACTATGGCTTTTAGCCCATCCGCCGACCGCCGACCGCCACCCATCCTGCAGCCGTCCTGCATTTGGCCAAAGTTTTGCTGCGTGCCGCAAAAGTTTACCCCTTACCCCCGGTATCCGGAATAGGGCAATCCTGAATGCGTCGCCGCATCAGCTCCCCCCCTGGAGCTGAAAGTCTGGAGTCCCGAGTCCGGACCATCTGCAGTGCAAATTGCCGGACTCCCGCAAAAGAGCAACAGCCGCAGGAGGCGGACGAATAAATATTTATTGATACTGCATCCACGTGGCATAATTTGCGTATAACTAGTTGCAATAATTTTTGGCAAGCCGCCCACTCTGCCACCTCCTTCCTGAGGGCCAGGGAAATGGGTGGCTAAATGGTTGTTTGCCTTGCCAAAACAATCTGAATCTCTATATAATTTAATTTCAAGCAAGAAACTTTGGAAAGCGTATTAGAATTTATAGCTTCAGGGACCATTAAGTCAATAATTGAAACCTTTAAATTACTAGCTGCTTTAGGCTGTTAGTTTAGCAATCTGCCAAGAGTTAACTTTAAAGGTAGACTTTACTATCTCAGTATTTATAGTATAATCATTAGGACTTTTTATTTAAGTTAAGCTAAAACTCCAGTTTTCCTCTAAAATTGCTATTTAAAATATCTACATGATATCTACATCCCAGTGGCGCCGCCAAGTATGCTTTAAAATCTTGCAGAACCATGCATATCTAGAGAAGAGCTTTTCAAAACCACATTTCAATGCTCAATTATATAAATATAATTTAATATATTTATTTTTTTCGTTGCAACACCCAGTTAGTGTTGTACATTTTTACTGAATAGAAGTTAATTGAAAATTCCCTCAGCAGCGGCCTGGTTGACCAGAGCCTTCAGACCGGCGGTGACCTCAGTGCCCACTTCGGTGATTTGGTTGGAGGGCAGGAAGAAGCCATAGGTGCCCTTGTCGCGCAACTCCACGGTGCAGGTGAAGGGGATGTTCTTAACGCCGTAGGCCCAATCCTTGGCAGCACCAGAAACAACATCTAGAGAGACCGATTGGAGATTAGAGACCAAGCAGGAAGGCTAATATTCTTAAGACTTACAGTTCAGAAGACCACTAGCTCCATAGGTGAAGGATGAACCGTAGACATCGGCAGCAGCGTCAGAGAAGGCGGCGGCAATGCGCTTCATCTGCTCGTAGTTGGGAGGGAACTCGGTGTTGGAGTGTCCGTAGGGCAGGAGGACGTACTGACCATAGGCGTGGAAGGCCATGTACGAGCGGATGTAGCCGTCCTCGAAGGAGCTAACAAAATTCTGCAGCGACAAAATCTCCACCTCGGTGTTGGGCTGATCTCCACCGAACCAATGATCGCAGGGCTCATCGATGTTCCAGCCAGCTCCACCCCAGTGGTAGTCGAAGTTGCGGTTCATGTCGATGCCGTAGCAGTCGCCGGTGCTGTTGGAGTAGCCATTGGGACGACGGTTCTTGCGCCACAAGCGCTCCACATCGTGGGTGTAAACGAAACCATCGGGGTTCACCATGGGCACCACAATCCAGTCGTACTCCTCGCTCAGACGCTGCATCTCAGGATCCTCGGAGTTGATCAGCTGGTTCAGCAGGAAGGTGACGGTGGCGGAAGAAATCCATTCCATGGCGTGGATGTTGCCCTCAAGGAAGATGGCCTTGTTGCCGGTACGCTTCGACAGCTTGATGCTCTTGATGTCTCGACCCTCGTAAGACTTGCCAATCACTCCGCACTCCAGGTAATCGTGGGCAGCGCACTCCTTATCGATCCAATCGTAGATGGTCTCCAAAGAATGATAAGACTCCCACTCCATCTGGTCGTCATTGTTGACAGAGGAATCGTCAAGTAGTCTGTAAGGAAATTCCAAAATTAGTGATTAATGAATTAATGATGTGTGTTTTGGACTCACTTTTGCAAATCCTCAACTACAACGTCGTAGACGATCTCCAGGAAGTTAAGAATCCTGTCCAGAGCTCTGCGGAAGAGGGGTCCAACAATCAGGTAGTAGCTGCGCCCCGGGCCCATCAGTTCGTTGAGGATGTGAACCTGAAAGTAGTCTTCCGTCAAAGAGGAAGATCTTCCAACTCAATGTTGCTAGAAACTCACGGTGACTCGCTCATGGATCTTCTTCAGCTCATCCATCTTCTCGTCCGTGTCGACGTCCACCTTATACACGGCGAAGTTATCATACCGGGCAGCCATCCGACCCGGTGCGGACTTGGCCGCCACCATGACCAGTGGCACCAAGGCGATCAAAAGGATAACCAGTTTCATTTTGTTGTTTTGTGTTGAACGTTACAGCGTTCACTGTGAGGATGAGAATCCCGAACAGGGCTTTTATTCAAACCAGGAGTGGCCACTTCAGATGGCCTTATCATGGCATGATAGTTCTGATCAGTCATCCGGCGTGTGTCTATAACGGAAACCTGTAACGCCTATTCAACCTACCACAAAGTAAGCAGTGGACTTTGTCATCTAACTTGGGGAATACGTCTTCCATCCACTGAGAAAGTTTACACTATATTTTTTTGTTTAATAATTCGACAGATATTTTATTCGTTTTCCACAAACCTTTTACAGGAATGAATGCTTTATAAGGTTACATTATTTCAATACCATTCAAGGTCATTAAAATATATTTTTTCGGTGTATAAAATATTCCCACAAAGTCAGTAGAGTCGAATCTAGAAATATAATATTCACCAAGTGGAGATACTTGCCTTATCGAGTGCATTCTCCTCCAAGCGTCTGCGCGTGAAGAAGCACTTCGAGAAGAGTCGGTCAAATGTACTCAAAAAACTTGAGATCACCATATAAATGAATAGTTTAAGTTCAAGTTTGTTTGGCCAACCATTTTGTTATAAATTAAGTCTATAGATAAAAGCAAGAAGTGACGTAATGAATACTTTCTTGCCAAGAAATGTACTCCAACCAAGAAAAATATCCTTTTCCAAGCCTCTGAACTAATTCAAATAAAACTTTAAAGCAACAATTATTGAAAATAATAAATTGATGCAATTGTTGATTCAGTATATAAATCTAAAACATTTAAATTCAAATACCAAAACCGTTAAAGTCAATTAATCGTAATCGAAAGCTCCTATCGATATATTAAGCAAGCTGTGGCAGGGCTGTCACATTTTTCCACCCCCACTAAGCAGTTCTCCTTGGTGTTAAAATGTTTTATTAATCATTAATAACATTTGGCTTACATAAATATTTATTTATCATCTCAATTTGGGTAAATATCATCAAACATGGTCAGTAATAAGTAAAATCATGCATACGCTTACCAACACTGCGTATAAGTATTAGAAACGCAAAGCTTTAGTCGTCGACAGCTGGAACAAAAAATTCATTTTCGTTTTTTCATCGACAACTTGCAGTTCGCTGCCTCGCGCCTAGAACAGTTTTCCCATAGTTGTTACTTAATTTATTAGCTTTTACACGTGCCAAGTAGTTAATTGCAGTGAGCTAATCTGTTTTAGTAAAACCATTATTCTGCACCATTGCTCTGAGCTATGAATCGGCAGTTACATAAGGAACGGATAGATGGCTAATCGGAAATAATACTTTACTGAGGACCGATCACGAGAAAATTTCGTCAGCTATAATTCTGGGAAGCAATCAAGAAGAGATACAGCGCGTCGGAGTCGGAAACAAACAAAATATTAATCGTCTGGCAAAAAACGAGAGAAAATATGAGCTCGGCAACAACTAAGCAAAGGCAGAAATGTTTAAACTGTAGCAGTGGCAGCAACAAAAGCAGCAACAACCACAAAAACTGTGCGCCTAGCAACAAGATAAATTCGGCGAACGATTTCCTTTGATTTGCGCCCATGCGTCAGCATTTCTAAAGCCAAAGAATTGTAAATAGCCCGTAGTTTTTAGTACAATTCACACGCACAAGTGAATACCCACACAAGTTGAGCAGCGCCTAAACCTAAGATACAGATATTGCAACAGTAATACAGATACACAAAAGTCACATCTGAGAAATCGAAAGGAAATCAAAGCACAAAATGAATTCAATTAAAGCACAATCCAGCGTCCCCAGCAATCCCAAGAAGTTCAATGTTTTCGAACATGTGAAATACGAGCACCTGGTGGCCGGTGTATCCGGCGGTGTGGCCTCCACACTAATCCTACATCCACTGGATCTGATAAAGATTCGATTTGCAGGTGAGTCATATCTTACAGAAGGCAGAAATGTTGTCTAAGGTTGGGTTTCTATAGATGGGGAGTATTCTACTAAATATTTAGAGTTATTACGGAAGTAGGAAGCTCTATATTAAAACATGTTGCTTTGAGAATATACTCGAAACTATAGAATCTACAGTTCCCCTGATCTTTAGTCCCATGTAGTAGATAGTGAGCCCCGCAGCACGTGCCTGGAAATTGTCGCCAGCTCGGCTGTAGATTAAATGCATTCTGTTCTGTTTATTTCTCTGGTTATTTTTTTTTTTTTTTTTGTATTTCTGCTTGCGCATTGTAATGAAAATTTTCCATGGAAAATTTGAGTCGCTTGCGTATCCAACAACGACGTCCCCCAGCAGTGACGTCCGTCAGACAGACCGTCTGTCTGTAATTCAATATAATTCGCATTCTAGTTTCGCGAATAAACAAAACTTGAATGGGGCCACGGGCACGTGAAGTAAGTTTTTGCTATTATTTTGGTAAAATTTATGGGTCTGTTGACAATTTCCAATTCTTAAGCCCCTCGGCGCGTGTGCTAATCTAGAATTCCCGGCCAGAAACTGGCTATTAGCAGTTCGAATGTTTGTTTTTCATTTACTTTTATGGTTCTGGAACAAAGATCGATATCGACTGTTCTAGTTATCAGTTAGAAATTCCCATATCTTGTCTGAATTTTCCCGGAACCCAATTAATGGGGTGCCCTAAAACTTAATAAACAATTCGAATTTTTTTGCCTCATCAGCTGATTCAGCAATTGTTTATGCTATTGTTTGCAAAACAAAATCATATCTTTGGCGAGTGACCGAATATATGTATGAATGATCATTGTACATACATATTATTATAGTTGTCCTCGATTGAGCTTCATGCGCAAAATACGTGAACAATATTTCCGTAAACTTTCTGATTCAGAAAATACCTAAAAGCTGGGGTAGCTGGTTTCTTGTTTATTAAATATTGTTACTACTTAGGTTGCCCGGATCGGGTCGGATCGGTGCAAAGTGAATATGTAAATTTAGCAGAAAAGCGGTTCGTAAACAATAACAACCACACGCGCTGTTTATGCGAATAAAAAATCACACCATGCTAAATTTTGTAAACTGATAAGGCCCCCTAACTCTGGGTACTTAGATGGAGCTAAAGACCCCCCACATGAGATGATCCTAACCTCCATTTTGGAATGGGGGCTTTTGGCAACAGCTGTTTTCTATTGACTTGCGCAAGGCCTTTTCCAGCGATGACGCATTCTCTGGCCCAATCGTGGAAACCAGTTTATTAACCGCCAGCTTTTGCTTTTTTTAATATTTTTTTTTGCCTTTGTGCTCTTTTGAATCACGTGACTGACTGTACACCAAGTTGGCTGGCTAACGGCAGCTTTCAGCGGGGGCAACCGTCCACTCCGTCCGGTTTTTGTGGCACAAACCAAACAGGTTGTTGTTGCCAAGCGGGAAGTGATGAATCAGCTAAGCGACCTTATCGGGATACTGACTGGCCGTATATCGAGTCGAAAAACTCATTACTTAGAGAGGCTCTATTCAATATGGCCAGTTCCCGGAACAGGCCCAGGAAGAGTCTCCAACTAGTTGGCCAGTTCAGCTCAAGGTCACAACTGGGGCGGCTAAAAATAGTCTAGAAATATCAGCATGCGGCACCAAGACGAGCCCCCCTTTTCGCGGCTGTTGTCAGGCCAGATCTTATGATTGCCGCTGGCTATATAGGAATATATGTATGAAGTCCCCGTCATATAAATAGCCGCTAATGGAGGCGTAAACATGTTGGGAAGAACTCGGTTTCGAATCGCCCCCCTTATCGCATCCGTTGGCTGGCAATTAACGCTATCTATCTGTTTTTTTGGCGAAAACAACTTTGGCCAGGGAGTCAACAACTGATTTGTCCACAATCCGCCGTACAGTTGCCTAGTAGATGCATAGTATATAACCGCAGCCCGTCATCCAACAAATCCAAAGTAAAGAAACAGAATGACGTAGTCTTCAGACCCTTAGGCAAGAGCTTCAAGGTTCCAAACCGTCTAGACGTGTTTATTTATCATTTATGACATTTCCAATTCATTTGTCTTTTTTTTATTTTTAGTCAACGATGGTCGTACAGCCACGGTTCCACAATACCGGGGATTGGGTAGCGCCTTCACTACCATTTTCCGGCAGGAGGGTTTCCGTGGACTCTACAAAGGTGTCACTCCCAATGTCTGGGGATCGGGCTCCTCCTGGGGTCTGTACTTCATGTTGTAAGTACTCCTTCTATATCCTTAAATACTCGTTTACTAATTATTGTATTATTTTATAGCTACAACACCATCAAGACCTTCATCCAGGGTGGTAACACAACAATGCCCCTGGGACCCACCATGCACATGCTGGCGGCTGCCGAATCCGGAGCCCTCACCCTTCTGCTGACGAACCCCATCTGGGTGGTGAAGACGCGTCTCTGTTTGCAGTGCGACGCCACAAACTGTGCCGAATACAGGGGCATGATCCATGCCCTGGGCCAGATCTACAAGGAGGAGGGTGTACGGGGCCTGTACCGCGGTTTTGTGCCCGGCATGCTGGGCGTCTCCCACGGAGCCATCCAGTTCATGACCTACGAGGAGATGAAGAATGCCTACAACGAGTATCGCAAGCTGCCCATCGACACAAAGCTGGTGAGTATCCACATCACAGATGGTAATGATGATGATGATCGTCACATGACCAAGCAGCGCGTGTCGCAGACAGCGGATATATACGCCACTGGGTAAACAGATCCGGTCAATATAATAGCACACAAGAGATTTCTTTTCTGAACAAGTTTAATTAAACAATATCACATCGGGTGATTTCTATATTTATGGATTTAATCTAGAGTGCTTGATAAAGTCCCCATCCATTTATTGAATCGGTGGATCGGTCTACCAAATCCCTAGCTAAAACCTGTCCAAAGTTAATGGATCTGTTGATAATGGGCTTATTGAGTTTATCTGTTGTGCTTTTAATGTGATGACCTGGTCTGTAAGCAGCCGAAAAATCCGCTTGGAACCGACTATAATGACGTCCAAAGAATATTTTTGGCAGCTGTTCAGAAAGTATCGAACGCCTCACTGACATATATTTTTGCTTCCACCCACAGGCCACCACCGAATACCTGGGCTTCGCAGCCGTCTCCAAGCTGATTGCGGCAGCAGCTACATATCCCTACCAGGTGGTTAGGGCGAGGCTACAGGATCACCATCATCGGTACAACGGCACCTGGGACTGCATCAAACAGACTTGGAGGTACGAACGCATGCGCGGATTCTATAAGGGACTGGTGCCCTACCTGGTTCACGTCACGCCCAACATCTGTATGGTCATGCTGATCTGGGAGAAGCTGACCAGCTAGATGGAGTATTAACTAGCGACTAGAGAGACTAGTACCAGAATCTAGAATCTGATACAACAGACCACACAGAATTTAGGCTAAGCCCTAGAATACACGAATCTTTCTATTTAGCTTCTTTTGATGTGCAGCTCGTATAGCAGAAAATGACACGATTATTTTGTATTATTGTTGTAATTGAACTTTGGTTTAGCCTAGCAACTAATATCCCTAGATTTAAGTCTATTCCATAGCTAGATTATTGTACATCCCCCCCATGAGAACACTTTGAAAGTAATTGTTGTGATGTTTGGTTAATGAAATGTAATTTCAAAGATGCATTTCTTGCACCATTCTTCTCCATCGAAACGGAAGCCCACACATACACACATTTAGTTTATAGTTTAGTTAAATTATTTATTTTGTAATGGCTTGGAATTGTAAAAGCTAATGCTGGGACACTGTCGTCCCCAGCAAAGTTGATACAAAATTTCGTTTTGGCAAAAAGATTCTTCATAATTTCGGAAATGGTTTATAATCTTAAGGATGAACCTTGACACTTATGTAAATAAGCATGAACGCATTGTGAATCATAAGCCAAGCAGAGATACAATCCCAATATCAAATGAAATCTAGAAGAAAATTAAAAATGACTTAACTTTATTAAGAAAAATGCCTCGCTGGCAAATGAAAAAAGATACATAAACTCCCATATGAGAACTAAATGAAACCACTGACAGCGTCTGACAGTCCAACCAGCGTCTTTTCATTTGGCCAAAAGCCAAGGGCTAAAAGGGCAGCTTCAGTAAGTAGTCAGTGCTCTCTCCTACCCTCTTGTCCTTTCTTGCAAATTCTGCAGAATCTCTTTGCTAAAGTGAAACCTCCAAAGCGCGTTTACTGTAAGTAGTTGTTAGGCCCTGGATAACATTCACTAACCCAGCCATGTCTTTGGTTCTCTATTGCAGGTACGAGGGCATTCGGGGCTTCTACAAGGGCCTGCAGGCGAGTCTGACCAGGGTGGTGCCCGCCTGTATGATCACTTTCCTGGTCTACGAGAACGTTTCCCACTTATTGCTGGCCAGGAGGAAACGGCTAGAGGAAGAAGCCACGGCGGAGGAGGAGCACAAATAGGCCGCCGCGATGAAGACAGTTCTTTGAAGTTTAACTTCAGGATTCCGATTAGTTCCTTAAGAGTTCTTACCTCAGAGTGACATTTGCCGAATGTCCAAAGCCAGCCATGTTGAGCATGTGCCTCTGGTTAAATATTTATAGGATTGACTTTTTTTTTTTAATTGTAAATAGCTGCTTTATTCGTTCAAAAAGGAAAGGACTCCTGACAATAGCTAGTACAATACAATAAGAAATATAGCTCTAAATTTTGAGTTCCTCATAAGAATTATACCAAAATTGTTGTTAAAAAGACACATTCTTCTTCTTTATGGGAGGGTTTGTTTTGAAAATTTTTCAAAAACCTGCCGGAGGATGCAACTAGGTGAGTATATTTCTAAAAAAAAAGACAATCTGGCAGCGTCCGGCTATAGACAAGCTTTATAAAAAGCATCAACAGTGGTCTAAACTTAAAAAATGTTTATATATTTTTATTGAATTTGAATTAGTGCCGCCATTTGCAAAAAAACAGGCTTATCGATTTACCGAAAAACAATCGGACCACCATTGGGGGTCGCCCCCAACCCCCAGAAGCTTTTAATAAAAAGCTTTCGCTTTCGTTTCCCCCGAAGTGCCAGACCCGAGACCCGATCCGAAGCATTTCGTGTCCATGTTTTTAAGTTAACCGTCTTTTCGAATCAAACAACGGGTGGAATTTGTAGAGGGCGGACGTTGGAGCCTTATTTTGTTTGTGGTGTTTGTTGTTGGTGTCGTATTTTTGCGTGTCTGGCAGTCGGAACGTGTGTGAATTTCATTTACGAGCCGTAAAATTAGCGCCAAGAACAGTCCGAGCCACATTAATAAACCAAAACAAAAGACCGTTTAAGTCTTATGCAAGAAACTAAGTAAGTGCTCCCATTTGCATTGGGAAACCAGTTTCGATGGAGCCACAGTGCCAGTAATTGTTCCAAAAAAGTGCATTGGTCGAGTTCAACAAACCGATCCAGAGTGCAGCTGGGCCAGGTCGCGATAACACCCGAATATGCAAGTGAAATGAATTAATTGGCGAATTTGATAATAGAATAATAGAAATACGAAATTTTTTGATAAGTTCAAGTTCGAACCCGGGCTTTGTTTACCGTTAAACTCACAAAACAAAAAAAAAAAAAGAGAACAAAGCGCGTGTGACAAGGAGAACGAACTCCAAAGAAACCACATGTTGCTCGGGGTCGGGGTAGTGAGATAGATGCACTGGAAAAAATATAATAAAATAAAAAAAATTGGAATGGAATAATATGCCAATATTTCCACAAAAAATAACCTTACAATTCTATAAAAAAACTATCAACTATGATAAGATAGGACATCATTTTTTATTGATAATGGTGTTCTGATACATAGGGTCTAAATTTTAGACTCTCAAATATTTCATTCGTTAATCTTACACCCATTTCTCTCTGTGTAGAAAAGTGTCAAACAAATAGAGGCAGAATAGATAGCCCATGGTGGTGAATAACCTTGAGTGGGGGAGTGTGATAAACTCGCGGAAGGTCTAAAGAGCAAGAGCTTGCCACTTGCATGGCAACCGGCATCATACGTAGCAGCGTTGTCTCGACCTCCGCCGGACGCCGGAATATCTGCGACTGCCTGCCCCAGGAGACCGTCGGTCTAGCTCCCAGCTCCAAATCCAAGTCCAAGTCCGCTGACCACCTGACAGAGCAAAGCTGCGCCTGCCTGCGCTGCCAATACCTGGCCAAGGATCTCCAGGATCCCCACCTGCCCCCCGTCGAACACAAGCCGGAAGCCTTGAGTGCCGGCTCCCTGGGCGCCCTCAGCGCCAAGGAGTCGCCCATTTTTGAGCGTCGTCACATTTGGATTCCCTCCCAAGGAGGGCTGAGCTCCTCGCAGTTCTCGTTGCGTAGTGCTGCTCCGGCGTACGCCGAAACCAAGCCGGAGTTGGACCTCGGCGCCGTAGAGGCGCTGCAACTGGCAGGGGGGATGCCCGCGGGAAACCGGACTCACATGGACATCAATCGGAACAACGGCTACCTGCACAACGGAGTGAGTATCGGGTTGGAAACATTGGAGCGTTTTTGTTTATTCCCTGAACGTATTAACAGACTATGTACATATATGATGATATAGACCCCCCTTGGGTTTGGAATTTAAGTACAAGGTCACTTGGAAAAATGTTTTAAATATATAAATATTTAAACTTCTTAAAACAGTAAACAAAAAAGGTCTATACTCATCGTTGCCTAAGAAATATGATTGAGTTATATGTGTGTATATTGCCCCATTTCTCCAAGTGTATTGAGGGAAATGCCCAAAAATAAGTTGGCCAAGTGTTGCAATACTGTTCGCTATTTTGCCTTGTCAGGCCGTTAACACACAACCAGCTTGCACTCATTAGCCATTTAAGTCTCTGAGAGAACTTGGGTAAAACCGCCCCCCTTATACCCCCAGCTGGGATTTCAGAACCAGATGTAGGGAATGTTTCGTAATTATAGAACGAGTACACCAATAAATTCCCGACTACAATGCGCACTTTAATGCCATTTTCCCTGTCTCTATTGGCCAAGTTCGCATCCAGTTTGTGTCTAATCTACCGCGATAGTGAATTAAATTAAGCTACCAATTAAGCTACCAAATGAAATTGGAATCGTTTCCACATCTGAGCACCCGACAATGTTACAAACAAGACGATAAAATCAAAACAATGCGAAACCACCAAGCGATGTGCCTCAAAAATTTCACTCTCATCGGTGTCTGGGATATGGATATGGGCTTTCGAAGGGGGGACTTTGAGGGGGCCATGGTATTTTCTAGTGGGTGTGTTCAGCTACTTAAGTGATTGCCGGTTAGCCACATATAGATATCCGCCGTTGTCGTTGAGACACTATAATGAAAACTGGAAGGGCTATAACGCCACTACTGTTTTTGCTCGAAATGCCCCGGCAACGTCACGTTTTAAGGTCAATTATTGGAATACCGATACTACTACTTATGGGCGTGTGTGTGGGGGAATCTTAATTAAAGGCAGACATTCAAATTGCTGGCATATTTCAATTACACATCGCACATGCCTGTATTCAAGCTGATGAATCACAAAAGTGTCATTGCATTTTTGGCCTCTATCTAATCGGAGCTGGTTTCTTTCCCCCCCACCCCCATTATTTTTTTTTTTTGCTGCTGACTCCACTGGGTGATAAGATATGGCACTATACTCCAACATTTCGATAACAAGTCAAAGTTGCGTGTGCAGAGTCCATTGAGGGATTGCGAGGGGATTGCATGGACCGGATATCAGCTGGCTCCTTATATAACCAATCGGCTCGCATCGCTGGCTAAGGCAATGCACTCCGGTATTATTGTTGTGGAGTTTGTGTTTTCTGCGATTACATTTACATGACAATTGCCCGGGCAATCGGGGCCCTGATAAGCATATGTATGATTATACATTATAAATGGAGAGCGTGCCCATCACAGTCACATGGTGGTGGCGGCGCCTTCAAATCACGTCAAAAGCAAGGTGCAAATATTGAAAGCCCATTGTTAGCTATCTTTATATCGTCTATTTGCATAAGACAATGTTACATTTAGTGCAGTTTTATCTGGTCATTAAAAAAAAGGTGTTAAGCTGCTAAAAGCTTACTATAGTAGGCTAATTATACAAATAAATAATATCTTTACCTGTTTAAGTTTTCTATACAACCTTTTGACCTCTTAATATCTGTAATAATAGCTTTAAAATATAAATCTTTCATTAGGAAGATTCTCTACATTTATTTTACAGATACCATGTAGAATACCCACCATTGCATACTTTTTAGGGCTGCTTGCGAAAAAAACAAGAGCCACCATAAAAAATGCAATAAACAAATATCTCAAATAACAGAAACTAAAAATAGAAAATAGTATATAATCTATAGTTTTTCAAACTATTAGCAATTGCTAGTTTCGACCCATATTGTTCAACTCAACGCCTAGCGTGATGCATGCAATCCGAACTGGCTTTTGTTTCCAGGAATCCCTCTTAAGTTTAGTCCTTTTTTTTAAGGACATGAAAACATTTAATGGCAGGCACGTGAAGATGGAAGTCTTCTTTGGATTCAAACGTTCGAGCCTCCGATTTAGAGGCAAGAATCCCAAACAGGACTCCACCACCTCCGGGCATCCGTGTGGCTTTTGTTCGGAATGGGGTCGCCGCTGGTCGTTGGGGTAATTGCAGGCGCCTAGGAAAGGAGGGAAAAGGACTTAGAGACTGACTCCTCTTGAAAACATTTGCAACCACAAAAGGAATTCCTTGTCGTTCGACATTTCGCATTTATGCGAAAGTGAATTTCTAATGCTTTCGGTTTCCATGGCACTACAAACATACCATAGTTTAAAAGCATTGGAATTTTTAAGCTCGTCCTGGTAGTGTTTGCTTTAATCTTTTATAAATTATGTAAGCTTTTGTCTGAGAGGATTCGACTGTTGACTTGTCCCCGTTTTGAATGAGTGTTGACTCGATATTGCTTCCCATTTCCCATAGAGACTATAACCACAGTTGTCTAGTCGGTGATTATTTTAGGAATTCTAGATTAGGTTCTGTTCTATAAATGAATAGTTGGGTATACAAGTATAACCACCAAGGTCTAGAGTCTAGAGTCTAGACATATCATCTTTATATTCCTGTAGTTTCTACTATTAGTAATTCCTATTAAATGAATACCAAATTCTCATAATTATTTTAAGAACTAGTTAGCTCTCAAAAATCGATTAACAATGACAGCTGGTGACTTCCGTATAGCTCTGGGATGGGTTCCACATATCTGGCCAAATGCGAGTATTTGTGCCATCCAGTTTAGCGTTTAGGGTGTAATCGTATATGGGGAAATGCATATACATATGTGGACACCCCAACCCATCCCACTCGTCACCCCTTGGCTCTTTCCTTTGCGGCTAACCACGTTTTGTAATAAGCGTAATTCTATATAGTCACGTCGCGGCAGCGACAATCAGTTAAGACACCACCCAGTCCGCCAGATTGATGTGTCGCCCGCTTGATGCCGAGCGACTCTTTTGGGACAAGTTGATGCGGCAAATCCTCAGCTTAAAGGAAGCCTCCCAAGTGCAATGGAGCGTGGGTTGCTGGCCATCTGGGTGGGTGCATGGATGATAGGATGGGGGATAAGTGGGTGGTTGTCACCAACTGGACAGAAACCAGTCCAGTTTTGGGTGCTAGGTCAGGTCCAGAAATGGACACTGAACTGCCCTGCTCCAGTGACTGTGCCGGTTGATTGGATGGCTCTGATCGAGATCACCTCACCTTGATCCCAATGACAGAGACCAGTGATTCGGGAGCAGGGCTAACCAGCCGGACAACTGGCGGCCATTATCACTGGCAAGTGGACACTGCCTCGGCTTTGTCCGGGGATTGCTAGATAAGTGGCTGTCGGTGGCTGAATCGTCGCATTCAAAAGTCTGCCAAGCTCTCACGCTTATTTCGCAAGCTAGAAAAACGCCAGTGTTGGTAAGTGCCAGTTTTTTTTGATTTTGACTTTTTATTTTTTGTTGCTGTAACTGTAATGCAAAACCATTCACCACAAAAGGCAGCAGGGGCGGGGTTGGAAATAAAATTTATAAAAGCCTAGACGTCGCCAATTGGGATTTCAGTGCGCGTTTGTTTCGTCTGCGCTGCGGTTGCTGAAATTTGTCAGGAGCTCAGGACATCACAGGATACGATCGGGAGCCGATGGAAGCCACCAGGCAGGAACCCTTTGACGAATCGCTAGCGATCACTGCCACCTAAAAATATGCCCAACGTGGACGAAAGGGTGAAGAAGGGTAAAGCCATAAAGCGAGTGGAATCGCCAGCATCCGAGGAGAGAGCCAAAGAAAAAGACAAGGAAAAGGAAACCAGGGTGGAGGCGGAAACCAAAGAGGACTCCGAGGAAGCCAGTGGAAAGATCAAAAGCCGATCCCGGTTCTCGGCGGCACTTAGAAGTATCTCCAAAAGCAAAACCAAAAAGGATAAAAGCGCCGACAGGGAAACCAAAAGCGGTGCCGAGGAGGAGGAGGAGGCGGATCAGACTGTGGAGGAGGAGATAGACACGCCCGGAGACCTACTGGAGGTGGCTAGCTCCATAAGCACGGATAGCGGGGCGGTGGGCAAGACCAAAAAGAAGAGTCTGACGCGCAGACTTCTCCTGGGCGGACTGCGGAAGAGCGGGAAGACCGCCAAGGTGCGACCGCACAGCCTGGCCACCAGCGACGACATCAGCCTGGAACGGGTGGAGGCTTCCCTGCCGGCCACACCCTCCTCTCCGTCGGCCGCCAGCAGCACCCTGCAAATAACCATCAGCGGCAAGAAGGTGGAACCAGCCGTCACCAGCTCCTCGAAGAAGACAAGCAAATCCCGGCCAAAGAGCACCGCAACCGAGACGGATTACCTGACACCGGCGGCGGGGGAGAAGCAGAAAAAGAAAACCACTACCACGACGGTGACGACCCGAGATAGTAGCAGCACCCGCACCACCACTAAGCTAGTTGTGGCCAAGAAGAAGCAACAGCCGCAGCAGCAAACGACGCAGCAGCAGCTGCAGCAGGGTAAGCCCCAAGAGAGAGAGACACCTCTTATCACCGAGAGCACGCGCGATACGCCACCGCGAGAGCGAGCCCCGGCCAAGCCAAGTCGCCTCCAGGTAGTGCCCTCCGCTCAGGTGGTTCAGTCTGCCAGCGGCACCGGAGCAGTTCGCAAGTCGGTCACCAGCTCATCCAGCAAGAAGCTGGAGTTGATGCAGCAACAGCAGCAGCGTGGACACCGCCTCCATACCGCCAGAAATTCAAACAACCAAACAACCGTGGCTGAGCCGGCGATTCAAGAACCAGCACTACCGGAGCTGGAAGTCACCTCGTCCATCTCTACTATCCCCCAAGTACCCGACGACGGTATATCCTCGGCGGAGAGTGCCCAGACCCTTGGCCAATCCTCGCCCGTTGTCCGTTTCGCGGTGGGCAGTGCTGTGCGCAGTCCTCTGAGTGCCTACGAAGCTGCCTTGGCCGCCGCTGCCGCCAACCAGCAGCCCAGTTCCGGCGACGAGCCCAGCGACTCCAGTCTCCGGCGCCTCCAATTCGCCCACCAGCAACAGCTCCTGCTGAGCGACCACGACAGCATCGAGGGCAGGCGGGAGACCCTGCACTACCAGTCAGTGGCTAGCGAGTTCCAGGACTCTGGTTCCGAGGAGCAGGAGAGTGACGAGACCAAGGATACCGCAAGCGCCAAACCCATGCCGGCCTTCGGTGACCTGACAATGGATCAGGAAATGGAACCGGTAAGGTGTCACCATGGCCGGGGACGTCGGTTCGCCAGTTGAACAGTTTAGCAGACGTTTGCCTAGCGAGGAAGCCCCACAAGTGTCATGTAGCGTATCTGTGGCCCCGATGGGTGCCTGGGTGTGTGTCTGGGAGAGTGTCATTCAACTGATGGTGCCGGAAGAGAGGGAAGGGCCAGAGCAGGGCCAAGGGGTCTCGAAAGCCAACTTATAAATCTCATTCATGATTGACAAGCTAGACGAGGCGAAGAACCGAAAGAGGTGTAAATTGTTATCCGACTTAGTAGGGGCACTTTTTTTTAAACCTTATTCCAGTATTCCATTTTTTAATATCTTAGATATATCTTCCATGTATAGACCTCCTACCTAGCTCATGCTTCCTATTCCATATCTACTTTCAGGCCATCATGACGTCCACCAGCGAAAAGCGCGAGCATCTGTACAAGATTCTAGTCATCGGGGAGCTGGGAACCGGCAAGACATCCTTTATCAAGCGATACGTCCACCAGTTCTTTAGCCAGAACTACAGGGCCACCATCGGTGTCGACTTTGCCCTGAAAGTGCTCCAATGGGACGCCAATACGATAGTGCGTCTTCAGCTGTGGGATATCGCTGGACAGGAGCGGTTCGGCAACATGACCAGGGTCTACTACAAGGAGGCGGTGGGCGCCTTCATCGTGTTCGATGTGACCCGCAGTGGGACCTTCGATTGTGTGAGCAAATGGAAGGAGGACCTGGACTCCAAGGTGCAACTGCCAGACGGCAGCCCCATACCATGCATCCTGCTGGCCAATAAGGTGGGTTACAGTGTCTTTAAGGAGTTCTTTAACTAAAAAATGTTGTTTACTTTGCAGTGCGATCAGGAGAAGCAGGGCATCATCACGCAACCAGAAAAGATGGATGAGTACGTGAGGGAGAATGGATTCGCGGGCTGGTTTGAGACATCCGCCAAGGAGAACATCAACATAGACGAGGCAGCCCGCGCCCTCGTTAACAAGGTGATAATCCACGCTAATCTATGACCAAAGCCTAGGCTAATTCGCCTCCTTTTCTAATCCAGATACTCATCAACGATAAGCTGATAACTGCCGATCTGGGCGATGGTGACAAGTTCAACCTGAGCAGTGCGGGTGATGCAACGGGCTCGGATCTGAAGAACAAGTGTTCCTGCTGAGATCACTCACCCAGCACTCCAGTTCCCATTCCAACCCAGTCCAACAGCGTCCAGGGGCGTCTTTCAGAGCCAGAGACGCATTGTGCCTGTGCCCACACCATGTTCATGTTGTTAGAAGATAGCGATAACTACACTTAGGATTTCAGAGTTACATTTGTCTAAGACTTAACCTCATCCAAAAGCCATTCCATCAAAAGAATAATGTATCCATCCAATAGACCCGTCAGGCGAGACAGTGTCTCTAGCACCCGAGAGCTCGTAAATACCGATAAGAACTCATCTTTGAGTCCATATTGTTGCATGAATCTATATACCTTTCGTGGCACATACCTTACCTACGCATACACACCATTATTAGTGCTATCATTATTGCCGGCCCGGGTCTCGGGGATTAGGCTGAGATAGCCCAGCATCCGTATCATAGAATTCTACATTTGTGTAAAATACGAATCGTGTTCTTGTTTTTGTTTGTTTTATTTGCTGGCTTTGCTGGCGAGATTGTTTTATCTTGGAATTATTACACACACTTGCATAAACGCTCTGCCATCTTTATTTGCATTTAGATAACAATACGTACGTTTTATGCAATACGAAATGAGAAATAAAGTTTTTAATGGTAGTTAAGATAAGTATGAGTGTTTATTATGGGTTAGTAAGGGGAGAGAGAATTTCAAAATCTAGGACTCTGAAAGTTTAGTCAGCATGTGTGAGTAAGCATAAGAAACTCTTTAGTTTCTAATCTAAAAACTGTAAAAAAGGCACAACAAAAAGTAACGGAAATATTTGAATGTTAAAACTTTTGAAAACCTTTCGCTTGGTATTTTATTATTATTTTTAGTATTTTAGTATATCTGACAACTCTGCAAAGCTTAATAGCGAATCCCGATAGTAGAAACAAACTATCGATTAAAAATGTATCATTTACATTCAAGGATTATCGATATATTGATATTTTGATATCAACAACTATTTGCTCCCCAATTCGACAACTAATTTTTATGGTGATTTTTTTTCACTTAAAAATCCGAGCAGGCCAAGCACGTTTATGGAAATAATAACAAAAATGGCGCTACGCTAAGATAAACACTCCCATCCGAACCGCCCGCCAGGCGAAGAAAGTAGCTGTTGCAGCACATCTGCGATACCCGAAGTATTTCTGTTTGGCCTCCATTGTATTGTCACCAGAGGTAACCGTGCGTGAATCACTATACAACTTCGCCGATAAGACCCAAAAGGCAAGAGTAGGAGCAGCACCACAATAGCAGAGTCATCGAGCGCGGTCAGTCCACGTCCGGTCGGGTTGGAAGTCGCCCAAACACCAAGGGATCTCCGAGCCCTCCACGAACTAGTAACACAAATAAACAGCATGGGAAACGACGACCACCGACGGAGGAAGACGCCTTGCGGTTTTTGCATGGCCGTCTTCAAGTGGATACCAGTGCTGTTCATCAGTGCTGTGATAGCCTGGTCCTACTACGCCTACGTAGTGGAACTGTGCATCCGTAAGTGGATTTTGGCAATCTCACAAGAAATCCCCTATTAATCATACTTTTCAACCATAGGCAATTCGGAGAACCGGATAGGAATGATATTTATGTTAATTTTCTATCACATTTCACTGACATTGTTCATGTGGTCCTATTGGCGGACCATCATGACCTCCGTGGGACGCATACCCGAGCAGGTGAGTGAATCAGGCGCCTTATCAGTGACCTACTATCAATATGTTTGCGATTGTGCAATGGGGATAACCGAAATATGTGTGTTTGCTCATTTTCAGTGGCGGATACCAGACGAGGAAGTTAGTAGGCTTTTAAGGGCCGATAGCCAAGAGGCGCAGAAGCGGATACTCAACAATTTTGCGCGGAATCTGCCAGTGACAAATCGGTAAGATAAGCGAAAAGCTGTTAGAATGCTGGAAAAACATGTATAAATGTACAACTGATAGCTAACCACATTTTTTGAATATATTCCAGCACCATGAACGGATCTGTGCGATTCTGTGAGAAGTGCAAGATCGTCAAGCCGGATCGGGCTCATCATTGCAGTGTCTGCAGCAGCTGTGTACTGAAGATGGACCATCACTGCCCCTGGGTTAACAACTGCGTCAACTTCTACAATTACAAGTTCTTTGTACTGTTCCTTGGATATGCGCTGGTCTACTGCCTCTATGTTGCCTTTACCACGCTGCACGACTTTGTGCAGTTCTGGAAGGTAGGTGCCGTAAGTTTCAAATCATTTTATACTTCCAATCTATACAACCTTATGTCCAATGCATGCCGAGACCCGTAGTTAATGAATGTATTCTCTTAAATTGTTGAAATTGCTTTGTACTTAATGATACAAGTACGAAAATAATGGTTACTCGGCACAGGGCCAATTGAACGGCAGCGGAATGGGTCGATTCCACATCCTGTTCCTGTTCTTTATTGCCATTATGTTTGCTATCAGTTTGGTGAGTTTGTTTGGATACCACATCTACTTGGTGCTCGTTAATCGCACAACACTGGGTGAGTATAATCGTTATTTCTTCTTAGAACTTCAATAACTGGCTTTTATATTGTAGAGTCCTTCAGAGCGCCCATCTTTCGAGTTGGAGGACCGGATAAGAATGGCTATAACCTGGGTCGTTATGCCAACTTCTGTGAGGTCTTCGGCGACGACTGGCAGTATTGGTTCCTACCCGTCTTCTCCAGGTATGTGCCGGTCTTTGGCTAGGCCCCACCTTTGATCTTTGGCATTCTCACACTCCCATTCGCATTTTACTAACCTGTGCTGCACCTCGAAGCCCTCTCGCTCGATCTTTAGTTGTTGTTCTTGTGCGCTTTTGGTTTATTTTGATTTTTGTTTTGAATTTGGCAAATTAAAGGCATGCTTCAAAGTTTTGTACGCTTTGTAGTAGTCCACCACTCCTGATGTGTGTTCTGTGTGCTAAGTTACTGAACTGAACAACAAACTACCACTAATCTTTAATCAAAAGCTAATTTTAACACAAGACAGTATAATTGTATTCAACCGAGAACCGAAAGCAACAAATAAATGTTGTGCGATCTCCCTTTTGTAATTTAGATGTAAGCGAAACACAAATTACCCTTCATTTACCTTACGTTTGTTGTTTGTGTTTGTAAATAAGAAGAGATATAGTTACAGATACCAAGGTGTAACTCAAACAAGCCTAGTTTAAAAATTGTTCCTGGGATTTAGTGACTAATTATGCCAAAGTTCGCTTGAAATTCTGCCAGAACTTGTAGAATCTCAGCTTACTACTAAAAAAATAAACAATAAACACATGACACACACGATCAGTCGATCCAATTCCGATACTCGTCTTCACACATTTGTGCAAAATTATATAACAACTAAAAACTGCAACAACAAAAAACATCTACAAGCTAAACTGTAAAAAAAAAGAAAAGCGCCCAACTCGAAATCTTAACGATAATTCTGTTTAAAATTCACTATTTAACGCAATACCCAACCTTCTGCTTATTCACAATCACGGAATTAGTCGCAGTGACGGCTACAGCTTTGCGACCTCCAGCGACCAGAGTCGAGGATACGCCGCCTCGCCCGTCCAGCGGTACGATGCCATGGCGGAGACGACAGGCACTAGCAGGTTAGATGGCAACCCGACAGATAAGTTGATTGACGCTATTCCCCTCGACATCCTAACCAACAACCATCACCATCACCACACATCGCCCCATCAAGTAAGAGACACCAGCGGCAGAGTCGGCGACCCCAACCCACAGCAGCAGAAGGAGGAGGACGTAGCTCATCCGCCCCGGAACGATCTGAAGGTGGAGGGCCTGGTCAACGGCAGCTTAGCAACAGCTGCGTCTAGTCAGGCGAGAGATGGAGTGGCCAATGGATCCGTTGTGGTCATAGACATGGTGGGGGATCAACCGCAGTCTGCCCGACCGCCGAATGGCAATCTGCCCGTTTGAGTTTCATGTAGAGACGTAGAAGAGATGTATGTGTTTTTGTAATATAAACTGCCAGATTTGTTGCACCAGCAGTTGCCACTATGTTACCTCTAATATGCGTTTCATCAACTGTATTAGCTATTTAAACGACTGGGACCACATCCATCCTCGATGGTGTAATACATTAAGCAATATGTCATTTCTAACGAGCATTTATTTATGTTTGGAATCAATCGAATTTCGGATCAGAGTCGACGACCGTTGCAATATGATGAGGGATTAGCGATTTGTACCTAGAAATAATAAAATTCATTCAACGAATCACGTATCACCCATGTAGATATCAGATAAATCTCCAAGACTTTAACTAAATGCTAAGCTATGATGAGATTTCCAATAACACACACACATTATACACTATAAACATTTTAATTTAAGGCGTTTCGATTTGCTTTTAATTAAACATTAATTATTGTAGTTAGATAGTTACTGTTTGCCAGTTGATTTTTATACTTTTTTGATTTTTGTACACTTTTATCTAAATATATACTCTATGGATCGAACTATTGTAAGAACGAAGTACTTGATTTGGACGAAAAATATACATAACGATAACGACAAAGGTTTGTTTTTAATTTGCCAAAAAAAAGAATCCATCAATGCTTTGCTTCTCTTGCACTGCACCAAGTCATCAATCAATCAATCAATCTATCCAATCAAGCACATAGCATCCTGACTAATCACTCCTCCCGCTATATTATCTGCAAAATATACAAAGTTTATCGAATTCCGCTCCGAAAATCTCTTAGCTTCGGCGATGGCATTAGGTATCCCATTCGACATCTGGAGGAGGACACCGAGTCCCTGCTGGGCTATCACAGTGACACTCGCATCGAGCTGGAGGAGGACTTCCTGCCAGAGCCGCGATTCCAGGACTCGATTCCATAGCTAATCATGACCAGCGACAATGTAGCCACGTACTACATATAGAGATTTAGTTCTGAGGACTTTGCCACTCAAAGTCCCTTTTTTTTGTGTCTAATTTCGATTCAGTGTGTAAATAACCAAAAGACAGAATCAGTCCATCCTATAGGAGAAGCTAGGTCATTACGTGTAAGCCATTAAGTCTGGGATGGACACTAATAATTGTATATGTGTGTAGGTAACATAGCCGGCGAACAAATCGCTTGGGAGGAGCACTTACTTGAGTATTGCTTTGACATTCGCGTTGGAAATTTTAAACAAAACGTATTAATTTAGTGTGTAAGTAGACAGTTATTAAAACGGAATACAGCTTATTGTTCAAACTAAAGTATATATAGGATAAATGTAGTTGAGCTCCTGGGTTGGGGCATAACAATAAAATAAAAGGAAACTTTAAGAAACACATATGGATCTGTATATTTACAAAAATAAAAACCTCCAACTATTCCATTCAATCAAATCGACTCAAGTCATTGTCATTCTCACTGGTCTGTGCCTTTCCAGAAACTGTCGTCGAGGATACCACTTCAAAATCATCATCGGCTGGAGTGGTCGTTGTCTCTGGCGTTTCAGACGGATCCGTGAAGGGATTGGGGGTTTTTCGAGCTACTTTGGGAGTAAGTATGGGGGCAGGGACATCTTCGTCAGGGACATCGGGGGTTTCCTGGTCCACCTGCTTTCGCTTCTTTTGCTTTTTGCTGACCAACACATCTCGTCTCACGGCGATGCCGGTATCCTCGCTTTTCGGCAGCAGGTCACTTAGATCTGTCTCCACTTCGGCCACCTCCGGTTGGAGTTTTTCCTGCAGGGCCGCCAAAGCAATCAGCAGAGCTTCCTCGGTTCGAATGGTCCGGGATCCTTGTCGTGGCAGGACATTAACATAGTGATCGAACAGGAGCTCAGGGTCGTCCACTGTCAACTTTTCGTCGTTGGCCAGGGCGGATTCCAAGCCTTGCAAGCCGCCGAAAACAATTAGCATATGCTTGTAGCTGTAGGATCGGCTGGGCACCTCATGGACGTTGGTTCCGCGATCCGAGGTTCCAAGGGTCACATCGTAGCCGGTCTCGTAGGGAGATTTCGTGAAGATTTCCGACAGGGAGTGGGCAATGCGAACCTGATAGCCCCAATAGACTCCAGTTTCCCGACGTGGCTCGTCCGGACTGACCAGGGTGCCTCGCTGCTTCTTTGTAGTTTCTGAAAAGGATACTTTTTGGTATTTGTGTTCAAGTTGTTCCACCGTACCACCATACCACTTGGAGGATCCATCTTTACAGTCACTCGAACTCCTGGTTCAACGGCCTTGTCCACCAGAACATCGTTCAGTAGTCCCACATTCGCGTAACTGTGTCCTTCCTTCGCCTTCTTGTCACTGATCACACCCTCGCGGTAGCGGAATTTGCTCTGCTGTCGGAGATGGTGGGGCGTGTCCAGGGGATTTAGAAGGCCGGAGTACTTGAGGTCCTTGTGAAGGGGAAAGAAGTATTTGCGCAAATATTGCGGGCACTCCAGATACTGTAGGATGCGGGCCAGCTGCAGTGAGCTACTCCTCACCGTGCCGGTGCCACTACCATTCTCATCTTGTTCGTAACTGCGTTTTGTTTCCCGTGCCGTAGCTATCCCCACATCATCAAAGACAATCACCTCGTTGACTCGGAATATGCAGGCAGCTCGGGCTATCTGTCCGGCTACATAGGCGCGCAGTTCCGCGGATTGGGCATTCTCCAGGATGGATCCCGGAACGGCTATGCTCAGCGTAGATGGATTGCCCTTGGATTTGTTGACTTCTGCTTCTTTGGCGGCATCCTCCGCCCGGGTTTCTGCATCTTTGGCCTGCTGCAGCTCCTTCAGTAGTTTCTCTTGCTTGCGTTGACGTTTCAGCGCCTTTCGCTCCTCGTTCACCTTCTTCCAGGACTTGTGCGGCTCCGTGGGCTTGCCGTTATTACTCGATGCAGGTGCTGCAGGCATGGTTTTCATTCACAGAAGCTAAAAAAGCACCTGAATCGGGATATTAAACCACACACGTGCACCAAAACAAAGATGCAGTGTGACCATAGGTCACATCTCGAGGATATTTTGGTATTAATCGCTACAGGGCTGAAAAGCATCGGTCTTGGTGATCTATTTTACATTTATATATGAGATAGTTATAGAAAATTCGATCCATTTAAACATCATTGTTATGAAAAGAATATAATTAAATTTCCCATTAGATTTAGTCTGAATCAGACTTCATTATTTATTATTCCTCCTGGTGTGACCAAGTTGGCAGCACAACAGTGCTGTAAAACGCTAAAATTGAACAACGGTTTTCCCACCTCTAGGATTTAGCCGGCTAACATCATTTGGTTTTGGAAACTGGGAAATCCCATGAATTTTGCTTCGTTGTTGGATAGTGTTCCTTTTTTTCCTTAAAAATGAGTCGAAACATTCTAGCTCCACCCGTGCAAAAAATGAGCCATGGACGAAATTACCGTGTTAACGTAGTACACGATGACTTTGGCGGAAGCAAGTGGAACGGTCTGGGTAAGAAGTCCAAGAACGAAGTGAAGGGATACCAGGAACCTGGTAAGTATCTTAAGAAGCCTCTTCTGCATGACATTCACTTTATTCTGTCCTTGACAGATCTCTATGGAGATGATGACGATGAAGAGGACCTGGCCGCTAACGATATTGTGGAGACTTCGAGTGGCGGGTACGAGCTGGCTTTGCCTGTCCCAAAGTAGGTGATATTATGGAGAGGATTTGGGCTTTCTTTAAGTTTCAATCGTGGCAGATCTTTTTACGGCGGGTTAATTGGCATGAAGGGAAACACCAAGCGTCGGATCGAAGAGGAAGCCAACTGCGAGATATATGTGCCCCGTCAGAATGAAAAGTCCAACAATGTTATGATCAGGGCCAGGGAGCGCAGCCAAGTGTGCGCTGGCTTGCGTCGCATTCGCCACATTACTGCATCGCTGCGTCAGAAGATGAAGCCAACCCACTTTCTGGCTGTGGCCCTCAACTCTGGTGAAGTCCAGGAACACTTTGTAGAGCTAAAGGTAAAGGTCTTCTTATCACATCAACGATACCTTTTAATCAAATCACAAAATTCTGCTTAGAAAAAAATACTGGAAGCCAATTTGCCAGGAATCGATGAAGCTCTCTTCATGCCGGAAAGCAGCATCCATCTCACCTTGGGCGTGTATGTGCTCCTTGACGATGATGAACGTAAGAAAGCTCTCGCAGAACTCGAAGCTTGTCGTCCGATGCTAGAAAACCTAGTCACTCCCTTCGATCTGAAGATCAAAGGGCTGGAGATCATGAATGATGATCCCAGTGCAACACGGGTTTTGTACGCCAGCGTCGAGGCACCGGAGTTGCAAAAGTTCGCCGATCAGGTCTTGGCCCACCTACAGACCACCGGTCTGTGTGCCACCGATAATCTGACAAGGGAATCCGTCAAGCTGCACATGACAGTGATGAACAATCGCTATCGCAAGGAGGTGATGAAGTGCGACGATAGCTTTGATGCTCGCGAAATCCTGAAGCGTTTTGGAGACTACGACTTTGGTTCAGCCAAGTGCCAGGTACTGCACTTGTGCGTTTTGAAGTCGCGTGGCGAGGATGATTTTTACAAGATAACCGGATCCCTGGAGTTTTAAGGAAGCCTGTGAATGCATAGATCTAGTTTAGTATAAACAGGGAGAGACTCCCTTTCTTGATATTCCCACAAACTCCCGGTATTTTGCAAATAAAAATACAATTAAAATACACATACGATTTATTTGTCGAATATCAATGCTCAAAGTGGTTTTGTATATCTGGTTTGCATCCGAAACTGGATCGGATAACACAACTGTGTATTTGTTTTTGTGCCAGCGGGGGAGTCTTTTTCGGGAAAGCCCTCCCAACAATGGAAACAAAGGTGCGCTGCGACATCGCATACGGTTAGGTAAGAGTGGCCTCTTCTTCCGTTTTTGTATAAAAATATATGTATACGGTTCATGTACATATAGGCATAATATATATATGTGAGGATTTGCAGTTTAATTGTTTATTGGTATTAACAAAATAATGGGTAAAAACAAAATAGGTAATATAGGTGCTTGCTTAAGAGCTAAGGAGTAGGAAGTCACAAGTGGAGGACATGAACGTTCGCCAAAAAACAAAGAAAAGGGCACGATGGAAGAGACCCAATTGTATATCAATTTTTTTTATCTATTTTATGTATATATATACGTATATATAAAGTGGAAGTAAGCAGGATACCTATCCACGCTCGATCGTGGAAGTTGTACAAAAATCGAATCAAATTGAATATCAAAAACAACTCGACGGCTTACTAACTAACTTTAACTACGCAGGATTTGCTTTGTTTTTTTTTGTTTAGTTTGCTTAGTTTTTTTGTCAATAGCTTCAGTCTAAAGTTAAGATTTGGTTGACTTTTGTTTGTAGCGTTTTTTGCTTTCAGAGGATTTAGTTGGTTCTACTTGTCACGTTGCGATCCTTCGGGCGGGCGGGATTTGAACTACAGTACAGTAATGATGTTTCAAATTGGGTCAGTTGCTGCTCGCACATAGACTATATGGTAAATATATCAACATATGCAGGTGTCCACACACACATACTGGGAGGATTATGTAATTCGCTCAAGGAATGAGCTCCAAGACTATGGGTGTAGGTGTAGGTTCTTCAAAAAGTTCTTTTTTGTATACTCAGTCGTCTAGAAAACGGATTATAATAACCTGTCAGGAGTCTGATTATAAAATTCTTTATAAATTTGAGTTTTTTTTTGTAAGCTGGATATGTTTAAAATCTGATCCATAGCCTTGGAAGCGCATTCTTGGCGCTTTCAGTTTAACAAACAAACAACTACAAACGTACGTACATAGATTTTCTTCAACAACAATTAGAGGTTTGGTGCACATTTAGTTAATTTGAACAAAGGTTTTGGCTTTCGATGAATAATTATCAATGAATGTACATACAAGTGTATTCATTTCTTATTTATTATTTGGCTAATTCGCGCTAGACAATTACTTCAGTGTAAACAATCTCTGTACTTCAGGTCTACTAATTTAAGAAAGAAATCAAAAAACACTCCACACTTAAAAGTAAAAGCAAAAAGGTATCCTTGTCTGTGTCGCGTATTTTGTGTGTGTGTTGTGTGTGCGTGTGTGTTTCGGTTAAAATCCTATCCATCCATCAATAGATCAACTAATCAATCAACTAGGTGTGCAGCACTCAATTTGTTCCCTAACTTCACTCCATTCCCTGCCGTGCCATCATCGTCGTCATCGTCATCGTTGTTATTTATTTTAATGTTTATCTTTATGGTTTTGTAGCTGCCGTTCGTTGATCCCACACTTGACTGTCGCTGCTACTATTTGGCATGACCATTGCTGAGCACCGCCGGCAGGACATTGGCCTGCTGCACCACCGCATTGATCACATCGATCTCCTTCTTCAGAAAGGCAGAGCCGTTCTCCTCGATGACAGCATGATGCTCCGATTGAAGATTTCCAGGTGTCGGTGATGTTGTTCCATTGTCATGGACAGAGGATATGTTACGTTTGCGCAGACCGCCGTTGACAGTTGTCGCATCCAAGGTAACGGAACTGCTGTTGCCGGTATTGCTGCCGGGCAACTTCAGTTTGGGGAACTCAATGTCCCGCATCAGGTCGTTCTTGAACTCCACAATGCCGCTAACGGTCTCGGTTACAGTCTTATCGATAAATTCCTCAATGTTTTTGGTTTCGGCCTCGAGCTTCTCCTTCAGCTTGCTGGACAGTTGGTCCATCTCGCACTGGTCATGGGGCACGCTGACGGCGTCCCGAGCGCATGCTTGCTGTGGGCGAAGGTTAACATTGTTGGATTGCTCGGATTGCTTGGTTGTTTGTTGTTGTTCGATTGTGCGGCTGTGTTTATTAATAAGCTCAGCAGATGGTTGCTGCTGTTGTGTTGTTGGCGTGTTGACTTTACATTGAGCATGCTTATCCATATCCTCCTCCTGTCCTCCTCCATTCTCCTTGAGATCATTGCCAGCGACCAGCGCTGTCTCCGAAGAACTTTCGGCGGCTGCTGAATCCTTGACATTGCCGGCACCTGCCAGCCGAACGGACGCCCTGTTGTCGCGACTCCTGCTCTCGCCGCGTATATACTTGGGTAAAATAAATATGGTCACTAGTGAAATGATGTGAAGGCACAAATAAAATCTCAGGTACAAGTTGATGCTGCCCTGTAGGTGAAATACATGTTTTAAAGAAGTTCTGGTACATCTATTAGCGTCCAGCTTACCATAAATTCAAGCAGAACGAATGGGAATGTGGCGTAGCCTAGTGTGACCCTGGTGATCAGGCAGGTGAGGATGTCGTAGAACATCCTCGTGACCTGCGTGCTCTGGAAGCGGTGGCGGAACAGTCGTCGGCCTATGCGGGCCGCTGTCACGACAATGGCGCCGGTGGCAAAGGTCAGGTAGTAGCCCGGATAGAAGCCGTGCCAGACGGCGCTGAGGGCGAAGGTGAGCAGAGTGCCGTACTTCTTGGGCACCCGCTCGTAGACGAGGGTTCGCAGCCAGCGGTTGGTGCCGCAGTTCCAGTTCTGGATGGCATCGCGCATGTTTGTTGAAAACTGTGAGGTTGAAAAGAAGGTTACTTGTATTCTGTACTGAGATTATAGCCACTGAAGACCTACCTCAAAGGAGAGGACGTTAATATTGGATATCAAATCCCACTTGGGCTGGCCATCCTTATCGTAGCCAGTGAAACCTAGACCTGAGTTGTTGCAAATGGCATCGGCCAAGAGCCAAGCGTGATAATACTTGAAACGGATGCAGGTGGTCGCCATCATTGCGTACCAGAACTTGTACACCATGCTCGTGTCCTCAAGGAAGTCGTCCTCCTTCATGTCTTTCACGGGATATATTTTCACGAATTTCATAAATATGAAGGCGCACACTAGACTGCCAATGACCTTTCGTATCACAGCCTTTGTCGGTGATGGTTCCAGCACAACTTCTCCCTTTCCATTGTCGATGTTGCCCTGCAATGAATGGAGCATTAATAATCTAATCAAGTCTCGGCATAATGGAGGAGGAGCCTACATTGGTTGGCGGGGGAAGCAGATTGTAGCCTTCGACGAACTCGATGTAGTCCTTGTAGAAAACGAGAGGGCCGGCCAGAATGCTCTGGAAGTGCCAGACGTAGGAGAAGTACTCCAAGGCCGTGGGCATTTTGCGAATGGCATGATACTTCTGGGCTTTGGTGAGTTCCTATTAGAGAAGAATGGTTATTCGGTTTCTAGGTTTTGTGCGAATTCTTGGAACTCACCTCATCCTGTCGCACAAAGCCGTCGTGGATGCTGAAGGCCAAGCTGGTTACCTTCTGTGTGATGATCATAAGGGGCCCGGTAATGTCCAGGGCATAGGATCCATAGTCATAGAGCTGGCGCATGAGATGGACGCACAGCAAGTAGCTCATGGCCACCAATAAGACGGCTCTAAAAATTTGAGAAGAAGGATATTTAGGAGATATTCCCCAAGCCAAGTCCTTTGGGATACCAACCTCTGAACGATGCGGGGATCCTGGGTTCGAATGACAATGTAGCATATCGCCGGAAGTCCTGCGATGTGAATGGCCTGAGGACCGAAGCAAAAGTAGCCAAAGGCGAGGCCAATCGACAGGGCGAATGTGTGACGCAACTTGCTGGGGACCTTCGAGGGATGCAGCACCGATCGGAACAGGGAGGCCAAAAATAGAGCCGATATTTGGCAGATTAAAAAGTTTACCTGAAAGTGGACAAAAAAAAGGGGATGAACTTTAATAGAAAGAAATCTAGAAGACCTTAATAACTATATAAGCAGAGCACATGCATGTGGCACGTGTCTGACTAGATTTGCAATTGTAATGGGAAAATGGGACTGACACCCCCCAGCTGCCCATTCAAAGCCAATAAACCACCCAACCACCCCGTCACACATATGCGCTTCTCAACCAATTGGACCTGATCGTGATGATCGCCGATCGGTGATCATGATCACCATTACAATCACGATCACGCGTTGTGATCAATGTCCACCGTTTGCTGCAGTTGCTCCTGACCTCCCTTGGCCTTGGTATCTATTTCGATGCTAATTTTTTTTACGAATGCCCATTGAAGAATCAGCAAAAAAAAAAAAAACAAAAAATAAAAATTATAAAACGGCAATTGCAGAAGCCTCGTGCCAATGAATACAAAATAAATGAATCTAATTGATAATATTTGCAAGTAAGTGTTCCAATTTAGTATTTTATTTAAATTTTAATAGCAAGTTCACATTGCCCTCAATCAGTGGAGTGATAACAATAGGTTAGGCCGGGGTTCTATTTTGGAGGGAAACGGATGTGAACCCACCTATCATTTATCAGTGTACATGTACTCCAGTATCGGTATACTATATGTTTTTGAAAAATGCAACAAAATTACTTTTAAATTCTTAATCAGTTCTACGTAATAATCTTAACACTAATTAACAATGCGATTAAAGTCAATGACTTTAATTCAGGTCCTCTACGCTTCTTTACTTTCTATATATGCGCATTTAATCTATTTTCTTTTCTTTTGTTCCTTTGTTGTGTTTTTATTTACATATTTATATATATATATATACTATATATGTTAAGTGGTTCAAGAGCAGTCGTTTTAAGTACTCGAGACTATGAGATAGTCGGTACTTAAGTCTAGAGATAGGGGCCTACAGAGATTTAAATTACTAACTTTAGTAGAGGCACTTTATAAATAGAATTTATAATATTTTTAATATTTAAAAGCTTATAAAAGTTAGGTGTTTTAGTTAATTAAGTAGCTTAAAATATTACTATAATTTCACAATTAAAAGCTTAAATTCCAATCACACATCAGCTGTTTTGTCGGGAACTCATAAACTCACTCACTCTAGATATCGGCACTCTATGTTATCTTCCTTTGTATTTCCGAAAGTGTCGCCCACCAAGGGCCCACCACTCCAACCCAGACCCCCTCACGCCATGGGCCAAAAACAAAGGCGACCCTGTCCCGCCCCACAGATAAACCCAAGCCATAACATAAACTCTGTCGATTTTGCACTGTTTCTTCCACAAATTTCGAGCTTCCAGTATCGGCAGCTGATAAGTCTTGAATCATTAAACAGAAAATGTCTGAAAATCATGAGGCAGCAGCACCAGCGTTTAGGCCACTCGGACGCATGTTGTAATCATCATAGGAATACCTCAAGCCCCATAACTTGGCCGAAAACCGGTTTGGTTCTCTTTTTTTCTGTTACTGGCTTTGCTGAACAAAAAAATAAAAGCTAGTATGTGGTGGTCCAAACGAAAGGAAAATCTTGCCCAAGAATTGTATTTCAGCAGAGGTGGGTCTTAGGAAGGGCAACAAGTGGGTGGGGAACTTGTTGGTTTGCTGAACATCAATTACACGTTTGGAAATTTTCGTAATGTTATATACCCTTGGTATAGAGGGTACTATAATTTTGGGATAAAAGTGTGGAGAAGACATCTCCGACTTAATAATAACAAGTATTTAAATTCTTTATTAAAATATACTTTATATATCCGGTATTTGGGATATATCTATTTATGAATATCCTTAATTCCCTATATTTCTTTCTTATATTTCCCTATTAACTAGTTTATTCTATAATTTCAAAAGAAAAACATGTTTGTTTATCATTAAGATATTTGAAAATGTAAACACCCATATTTTCTTGACCTTCTTTTGAGGAAGTCTGGAAGTCATTTAGTAATAAAGAGTAAAAATTAAATGTTTGTTTGTCTATGATCAGATTCCAGAAGAAGCTTTAATTTGGTAAATATTCATTCATATTAAAAAAAAAAATAAATAAATAAAAAGAGCCTTCCTCCTCGATTCTCATAGGTCGCACTTAAGCAGGCCCAAAAAATCCAAAAAATAGGAAAAATTATTAGTTTGGTTTTTATAAATTTTGTTCCCTTTTTTCTTTCTTCTTTTATCTTCTAATTTTATATTTTTGTACATAGTAAGTTTTAGTTGTTTAAATATACTATATAAAAATTTTATATATTTTATATATTTTTTTTTTCTTTTTTATATATTTTCTGCCATGTATATAAATGATTAATTGTAAAAGAAATTATTTGTATAATGAAACTTTCAACTATAGCCGATATCTGCACTATATATTCCATTCTATATTATCTTCTATTATCTTAATATTCTATATTATAATATTATAATATTCTATAGTAAATTTTAATATAACCTTTTTGGATTAAATAATATTTTTCTCAGTGCAGAGAGCAGCTCACATTCGTGCATTAAATTACATGATGCGGTGCAAGTATGCGGAATAAAGGAAGTCGTTTTCCCAGCCAGAGGGCATGGCCAGGGCCTTTGTCTCAAGTTGGACGGGGACCCTTGGCATACCAAGCTCACCTTATGATTACAGACCAGGTATACATCAAGGGTCTCCCATACATAACTCATACATACTACAAGCCTCAATCAAGGTAAAATCATTAAATCGAACATTATTGGCAAAGACATATAGGTATCTATGAGTTACTTCCGCATCCTGACAACAATAACGGTTAAATATTGGCCTACAAGAGGACCAAAACAGCTTAAAGTAAACAAAGTAGACCCTCCAAGACCCTGAGTACCATTCCATTCTAGGGCATTGTTTGGGTTTTTTTTTCTATGAAGAGATATGTATCTGGATGTCAAGATAAGATGCTGCTGCTTGCAACGGCAGCAATTTGTGGCCACTCATCTGAGCCATTGTTTCATCCGGATGGTGGGCTTAGTTGCAAGCCGGGCTTACCATACTTGAGTGGGTCTTAACCCTAAAAAGTGTATGAGTTCCTAACGGAAGTATTTCCTATTTTATTTCCAAGATTTAGGCTTAGACTAGGGAGGATGTTCATCCATTATATGGAAGAGCCTGCATATATATACCTACATACATATAGCCATAAATCATTTGATTAGGGAGCCCACACTCCCCCTTCTGGAGAGGTAGGTAACTGCGAGTGCCATGAGGTGGCGTGATCACTAAAAATAAAAACCAAACAACACCCGCGATAAAAAGCAAAAGTAAAATAAAAAACAAGAAAACATTTAAGAATGCAAATTGTTTTTTTTTTTTAAGAAGAACCGAACAAAACAAACGGCAAAAAAAAATGAAAGTAATTAAGTCATGCTTCCATACATATTATTGGAAATTAATCATCGCAGTTTTATGATAAAATCGAAATACCCAAAACAAAGTATGAAAGGGTATGACAACAACCGTTAGCTAGCTAGGGGGAGGAGGTGGCTAGAGGTGGGGGGCGCCAAACAGCTGTCAAAAACAGAAAACATAAAAGAAGAGCCCACAAAGCAACAGAAAGAAAAGTTCAAACAACTGCGGCATCCCCATTCCAAGGTCACACAAATGATAATATCATATAATCTATGCATATCGGATGGGTGGTGGTGGGGTGGGGTGTACTATGGGAACTATATATATTTAATAATTTATTAAATTATATTATTTTATAGTTATTTTATTGGCTTTGTACTACAATTACCTGGCCTGGTCTATACCCCCGAACCGGTTAAAGACTTCCAGGGCCACGCAATATAGCAAGTTGGGAAACACTGTACAGTATGTACATACATACATACATATGTATGTATTTATGTCTGTATAAGTAGTATTATTAAATGTATATGCAAGTAAAACAAGCACACCGCCAAGCGATGATTTGTTTATCGCGGTTTATTAATACAATGCCCATATACCCACTATACCCACACCTCTGACGATCGAGTCCAAAAAAATAGTGCTTCCTATGACTATTTCGAGAGAGTGGCTGGTGAGGATCTAAAAGGTTTACGGAGATCGTAGTAGGGAAGATCTGTCCCGATCATAATTCGCCGGCATTTTGCGCAGTTGCGTGCTATGGCCTTTGCTTTAAATTTAAATAATAAAACTAATAAAATAAAACTAAAAAGCTAAATATTTATATAGGCATGTAGTTCACCCACACCCTCCTTAGAGCCACTGCCACTGAGTCATCCAAAAAAATCAGCTGATGCGAAGCTGTTGCTGTTTGCAAACAAAAAAAAGGCGCAAAAAATGCAATTATTTTAAATAAAATATAGGGAAAAGAGAGTCAGCCAGTCATTAATTTAAATAAAATTTTGAAGAACCTCTTTCAATTTCGAATATAACCCAAAGAAGTGTGAAAAGTGTCCAGCACATGTGGTAGTGACTTACAGCGGATGTTGGTGAGGATTAGGTCATCGGAATTGAAAAAATATATATGACACTGGCTGGCACTGCGATTACGTGGTAGTGTCATTGCGGCTTATGGCGCATTTGGGCCACAAAATGGCAACAAAAATGCGCCTCTCCAAATGAATCACAATCTACAGTCTGCCGCAGTCTACAGTTATGTATGCGGACATAAACAGAGAGAGGTAGATATAAAGAGAGAGAGATAGGAAGAGATTTGTAACTAGTGCGGCTAAGATTAATTACCGCTCCACGATATTAAATGATGCAAATCGCTTCTAATTTAGTGAAACCCAACGGTGTGTGAGTGGCGTGGAAAATTCCACACTGATAAGACTGCTCCCCTCCCCCTCCACACCACCCAACCGCAAAGAATTTAATTATAAAACCTACAACAAAGTCGGCAAATTAAATCAAACTGCCAAATTCGATTAGCTGCCAAAATAGGAGGAGGGGGAGGAGGAGGAGCAGGAGGAGGACCACCAGCCTGCTACCGGTTGCCAGGTAAAGGCCAGGTCTTCCTGGCAAGGATATCCTTTCGCCAAGGCAATGTTCTCAAGAGGCGGCTTTTGGCCTCATGATTAGCAGCAGCAGCACACCGACACCTCCACGAACATACACACACGTGCACACGCCCGTTTCTGGCCACCGGAGGTGGGGGGGCTCTGTATTCTTTTTTTGTAGCTTCGTTGTGGAACTCACCAAATCAACCGACAGCCCCACCATGTCCGCCAGCCAGGTAAATGTCCGGCTGCCGTTGTAAGAATCATTATCAATGAATTTCGGCGGTTCAATCATTTTGAAATCCGTTTGTTTCTAGTTCTCTGTTCTTTTCTGCGTGGTTGTTTTTGTTGTCACACACACGGATTTCAGTGCTTCATTTGGAGGCTGAAGCCAAACGCGAACCGTTCGAGTTTCGCAAGTGTTGGGGGAGCGCCCCTGGATGGACAGGGCGGGGACGCGACGCGTTTCACTGATAATTTTGTGCAATAATTCGGAAGTTTTGCGTCTTGGAATTCTCGGTTGCCGTCGCCCGTGCGTCAAAATGGCCGTACAAATAAAAATATTTAAGTGAGCGGTGTGGCCAGGCGGCGATTCTCGAATGCCGCCAAACTGGAGAAGGGGCAGTAATCGATGTCTTATCGACTGAATCGACTAATACATAATATAATCAATTAATGTACCTTTATTACTTTAATAATTAATAGAAGCTGAATAAATAGTATAATTTTGCTTTACACAAGCCTTACCTTAATATATTTGAAAGTTATTTGGTAATAAAGTTCCACCCTAATTTCGATTTCCGATAATTTTCCTCGAACCAGTCGACTTGTCGATTATCTGCCATCTCTAATTTGCGAACCATCATACTACTTTTTGTGGAATTATTATTAAATTAAATCTATTTGCAAAATGTTGGGCCGCAGCAGTGTGATTGCACGCAACTTCTCCCAGTCGGTGGTCCGCTTCAGCGGCCATGGTGGAGTTCCCGGCGAGGTGGGCTTTACAAAATGCGTATTTTCCAAGAGTTACATAATTTTTGTACCCCTTGAATCCTGGTGAAAAATCTCAGATATTAACGGAAAATATGTTCATTCTTTCAGAACCTGCCCTTCAGCCTGCAGAACAAGTACAGGATCACCGCCCTGTTCACCATCGGCTGTGTTTTGGGATTCGGATCCCCCTTCCTGATCGTCAGGCACCAGCTGCTCAAGAAGTAAGGTGCTCCCCCAGGCGACAGCAACAACAAATGTAAGGTTAGTTAGTCGATTTACTCTATTTGGATGTTTTATCTAAATAATATTGTCATTTCAGATGTACCCTTGTTTGCTACGGCAGCCAGGAGGCCATTGCTTTGTGTTACAGCTTAAATTTAAGTTAAAAGTGGAAACTAAATAAAGTTACCCCATAACCGTGGTCCCAAACAAAAGATTTTTCCTTGTTAGTCTCGTTTAAACTAAGCAACTTAGATTATTGCCAAGGAAAGTAAATTTAAGAACAAGTAGGCCTTTCAGATTTGTCAAAGATTCGATAGGAATACCGCATTCGGCACAAATTATTCGCTCGCTATCAACGCAACATTTTAGATAAAAAGCTATTTTAAAATTGAATTTGAATATGTGGTCAACGCTGCGTAATCCAATTCGCCAGATTTGCGGGCCACTTAAACGCTACGGACATGGCTATCCTGGTGGTGTCCCTGGAGAGGTAAGTGGTTTGCAATATTAAGGGTACAAGTTCATAAGATCCTGGGTACTTTAGAACTTGCCCTTTAGCTTGGATACTCCAATGCGCTTCACCTTGTGGTATATGATTGCCGGAGTTCTTGGCTTTGGAGCCCCATTTTTGGTTTTTCGCCACCAAATGCTGCGCTCTGTTACTGAGGCGCCGTAAGTATCATAAAATTAATCACAAGAATTGAAATTTATTTTTTAATTACAGCAAATAATAGTGCCCCCCTCTGAACATGCGTTTTAAGCAGTTCGTTACTCCTTAATTGCTTAAAACGCACGAATATTAATAAAATGTAATAACATTGCACTTGGAATTTATTGTCAATATCTAATTGTTTGATTGGCGTGGTTGGTGTTGGTTTTCTTTTACTTTAGCTAAGCATAAATTTAGTTCGAAAGATCAGTACGAAGATCAGCACTTCAAGCGGTGGTGATCGGAAAATTCGTTAATTGACTAGAGTATCACTGGGAAAACTACAGTTCCTCCTTGCCATCGAAATCGTATTCCTCCTGGATGGGCGATTCATCACAATATTTCGCCTGTTCGGAACAGATCTTAATGTCCAGATCGTTGCCCAGTTCTTCGGCCTGGAAAGCCTTCAGGAAGATCTCATCATTGTCGTCCAACACTTCGTTGCAGAAATGGCCCAGGCTCTTGTTCAGATCACCATCCTGTACGAAGTCGACCAACGAGGAGTCTGGATTCATTTGGCCATTGATGATCATCTTCAGGAGAGTGAACTTGCCATTGCTTTTGTAGGTAGCCTTCAGATAGTCGTCCATGCGTTCACCTGCAAGGTAAAGTTTATGAATGATGGACGTTCATAAATGGAGAATAGGTATCTTATCTAACTAAAAGCTCTAATCAATGCTGCTCGGAGGGAACGTTCTCAATCTTATCTGTTGAATCTCTCTGGAGAATACAATATACTTACAAATCTTCTCCATCAGCTCGGTGAGGAACATCTCAGACTTGATGAATCGCACACGTTTGCTGACAGTATTGCCATGGGCATCCAGCCGGAATCCACTAACATCAGCCATCTTGTTGGCGTCTTCCTTGGCCACTGCCTCCTCCATCTCTGCCACGGTGGCCTTGCACACTAAAGCATTAGAATTATTTCGAATTAATCGACCGGTCAACAAGTGGTTGAAGTTTTAACAAAAACCTACCATGACACTTGACCTCCCGCGAAGTGAAGCTGTATCCCTGAGCCAAAGCCAGCAGGCCAAACAGGATTAACGTCTTCGTTAGCATATTTGTATAAACTAATTAACAATTGAAGCTAAGGGAATCCTAAAACCACGTCAGCACAGCGCGTTCAATTTGAAAGTGCGGCGTTGATAAAGTTGGTGGTGGTATTTGCGCGTTAAGAGCGACGTGGGCTTTCCTGCTCTTTGGCGATAAGTGGAATTTTAGCTTAATTTATGTGGAGCGTGGTAGTTGGTCGGTGGGTGATGGTTAAGTTGTTGTCAATTGTTATTGCCAATATATTCTAAATTAAAATACGTCACTTTTAGTCCATCACTAGTTTTTCGATACTCTAAAATATCGATATCCACTCTAAAATATCGATATCGAGCTACCCTTGGCGCCAATTTCAAATTCTTGCGTAGAAGCTCGTGCCACCGACTTGCATTTTAAAGAGACAGCTAACAAATCCCATTTTCTCATTGATGAAAAGCTTTTTTTTGCCAAAGCAGAGAGCGGCTGCACTGCCTCTTCCAATCGGAAACCCATGTAGGAATCGGGTAATGGATAACGGATACTACCATTGCGGTGCGCGGACGGATAAATAGTTTAGAAAAATCAGAATAGGTAGACATGGTTTTATGTTTAGTAAAAATTCACATATAAATCGATCGTGAAACTACTTGTACAAGGTTCGTTGGATTTTTGCTCCGCCATTAACCAGCAAAACGCAAATTAAACAATATTACAACAAAACACAAGTCGGTCGCCGTCCAACGTTAATTTCTACATACTCTTATTAACCATTTCGTCTCGCGAGATCGCCTGTAATTGGTGTTAATTAAGTGTCGTACTTCTACCTCTCTCTTTCCCCATCAGGGGTTCTCTTTCATTTGTTTGTTGGCAGTGTCGATCGTGTCTAGTAATTCTGTTTGCTCGGTAAAGTGACAAGAGAATATTATACTCGTGGATCGGTGATAATTTTTGTTTTTTTTTTGCAAAACCCTCAATAAACGGAAATGCAACAAAAATACCTCTGAACAAAAATAGTTCATTGTTAAGTGCCCTTTTTCGCTGACCCCCCTCTGAGCTCTGGAGCTCTGGAGATAACAGATAGAAGAATTTGTGAATGAATGAGGTTTTTTCATAGAACTTAGATCGATTTTAATAGATTTGTTTGTAACACGCAATATATATTTGCTCAATAAATTAAAAGTTAAATAATATCAACTCCTTATCGAAATCAGTGGCGGCATACGCAGACAGCCTTGTCGTTGCAGTATCCCCCCTTGTACTTCCGAGCAAGGCAGTGGGCGGCGCAGGCGGTGTGGTTCCAGTTCCACTTGGAGAGCAGATCACAGGTGGCTCTTTTTTGGCGACTGTGCTCCTGCACATCAGCATTCTCCGGCAGATCCTCCTCCAGGGTATGGACCTCCAAGACCTCCTTCTGGGACTTGTCGGCAACAGGCTGAGCCTGAACCACACAAGCCAGGACAAAAGCCAGAGCCAGGAAAATGATTACCTTCATGTTGGATTTGCAGTGGAGATACTGTTGTGGCTGATCGTGGTTTCGATGGGTATTTATACGGATCTGTCAGGGCAAACAATCCGCAGAGGGACTCCCACTAGGTGACTTACTTTGCCTTTGTGGCAATTCAATATGCATGGACACGCGTTAACTGGAGGGGATTTTTCTCATTGTGCTCTGCGGTATTGAAGTACTTCCTATTCGATGGAAATATATGTATTTCTTTTGAGATAAGCATAGGAAATAAATCCCCTCCTCTTACCTGTTATTTTCTTAAAAAACAACTACTTCCTGTAATCCCTTTTCCTATCTGCCAATTCTGCAAAAAATCCCCTCGAATATATATCCTAAAAAATCAATTTCCCGTTTGAATCTCCAAAATATTCGCTGATTTGATTATTGATTTCTGGCTAACTGCTGGGACGCATTGCCTGTCCAGATACTTAGATACTCCGATGGTCAGATACATAAACATACTGGCGACAATAAATAATTTCTACCGAAAAGTCTCTTCATAAAGCCAGGCAAATAAACAAACAAGAATCACACAATGATTAGTTGGGCATACAACCGAGTTATATCTGTATCTGCGATTGTTTACGTATGTGTATCTGTATCTTGTATCTGTATCTGTGTATCTGCATCTGCATCTGGTTCTGAACTCTGTTGGGCTGAGCCATACCGTACCATGCCATACCGATCGAATCCCACGACCGTGGCCGACCGAACCGTACCCTGGGCTCCTTATGGGCTGCCCAGCTAGATATCTGGCTATCTGGCTGTTGCCTGTTTACCTTTGTTATCGACCAGGCTGTCTTGTCTTGCATTTTGGCGTCATACTGTCTGCCAGTCCACGCCACTTGAGTTTACCCCGACCTCGCCCCCACTATCGCATCTCCAGGTGCAGGTCGTCTTCTTTTAGTCATGTCTACACTTGGGGAAAATCGTATACCTCCATAATAGCATATGTAAAAAAATTATATATTAAATAAAGCCCTAATTTCTCTCAGTGCACTTTTGATCGTCCAAAAAGACCACAAAACAGAGTGTGGCACATTCGGAAACAAAGCCAAGGCACTGGCGGGGTTTTAAGGTATGAGTGTGTATGTGGGAAAAGGGGATGGGGGGAGTACAGGGGAGTGAGAGAGGTGTACCTTCAGGGGTCCGTGGTCAAGGGGAGGGGGTGGCAGTTATCGCTGCCGTCAGACTGTCTGGCAGGTTTCACGCCACAACGCAGAGACCCAAGATCGGAGACCGGCAACAACCGGGCTCCTCTCGCTGTCCAGCGGCTCTATAAATCACAGGAGCTGGGCCCTCGACTGCTCACGTTTCGTTCCCTTGACCCCCCTCCCTCCGGCCGGTGTGCCAACCCCTCCCCCGCTGGCTGAGCAGCTGGTGCAACTGTTGGCCGCTTTGTTTTAGATGTTTTTGTTGGTGAGGCAACCTCTTGAGATGCACAAAGGAAGATAAATTTCACACGCACACACAAGTGCCTATCCACTAAGCCAGTGAGTTGGGTTTCTGATCGTTTTTTGTAACGATACAGTAAGCCCTAGATAAGAAGAATGTGGTGTCTTATTTTTTGCTTTTTTGAAAATTAAAATTTGTTTTTTTTTTTATTTGAAGAGTTTTTGTTATAGGAATGGAATGGTTATTGGGTATATTTTTAATGTTTTTTATTACAAAAATTTTTTTATTTTATTATTTTAAAAAAATTGTAGTACAAATACAGAATATCTGTAGTAGTATCTAAAATATGGTACCTTAAAGACCTGGTACTTGTCAGTTCGTTTGATTTCTTTTCACAAATATTATTATAATTTTGAATTAGTTTTGAAATGTAATTATGTCTTAATGTAGATACTTTAGGTCCCTACTATATATCATAAATTTTATATCTTTAAATCGTACCAAAATCGTAAAAATCTCTGAAAGTTAAATCCTTATAAAAATATATATCCTAATAAAAAGAAATTTCTATAATGCCACATAAGTATAACCTTTTTAGTTAGCTTTCACTGTATCGTACTGGCCGTGTCCAGTCTTTTGGAGTCCAAGTCCCAAAGATAAGATATTGGATGCGACACGCCAGACACTCTGGCGACAACCTCTTGTCCCTCCCACTCCCACTCCCCCGATTCTCATCATTCTCACCCGCCGCTGCAGCGTGCTTGGCTGGTTCACGCTCTCTCTCTCTATGTCTCTCTCCGGTCTTTTGGTCTCTCGGCCAGTTTTGGGCCACTCCAAGCCAAATCCCGTGTGGGCCACTCGAGCAGTCGAGTTCGGACTCGGCGTCGATCGGTTTAGTTTTCTTGCTTGGCCATATACGTTTTTTTTTGTGTATTTTTTCGGGGCGCTTTTCCAATCCAATCCAAACCAATCGCATCGAATCGGAAACTGCGGCAAAAAATCGCACACAGCCAGAGGCATTATATAAACACGATATCTGGTCTACGAAACACCTTAATGCAGACGCAACCTACCTATACCGGCTATAAATAGACCACGGGAATCGGTAAATAAATAAATCGAAAAGCGGCAAAGTAAATCGAAAAGTTCTGGGAATAAAATTAAATTGCGACTTTGCGAAAAAGTGTGTGTGTGTTTGCTGGCCAAATATACAATCGGCATGTATAATTGAAAAATTTGTCTATAATGCGAAAGGCGCAATTGCGGCTTTTGCTATAAAACTAAACAAAAAAAAAATAATAAACAATAACTTGATTATAAACGAAAAGAACAGTTAATAAAGGGAGAAAGGTGAAAAGAAAAGTGAAATGTCGTCGAAATGCATTTTATTTCTCACCTGGCTGTGGGTTATATTTGGGGCAGGAACAACGGAAGATCAAGCGGTGAGTATTTTTTTGAAATATTAAAAATATTAAAGTTGAATTAAAAGTATCGAAAAACCACATTATTTCATGTAATCCCTGAAAAGCTTTCGGCTCTCAAATCCCAAGAAAACACTTGAATATTCCAGGTATCAAAGGCAACCACCACACTCTTCTCGCCCAAAAAAAAAATCAGACAAAGGAGAAGCTGCGATTGTAGTCTTCTTCTTGTTAATACGATTCTTCGGCTTGTCCGCCGCCGTGCTGTCTGCCAAACTCTAAAAAGAGAGTCTGCCGGCAGCAGACCACCACCTCTCCCTCTTACCTGTTCTCCACCTTGATTTTTGTTTTTGTTTCATCTGACCGACAGAGTAACGTGTTCCTGCAGAAATGAATAAGAAGAAGAAGAAGAAGTGAAGAAGAAGGAGCTATAGTTGCTAGATGGGGCGAGGATGGGGAATGATGGGGAGGCGAACAAAAAAAAGGAGAACACAAAATGGTCACAAGTCAAAAGCGATTTCTTTTCCCTACCTTTGCTGCTCCTGCTTTTTTTTTTTGTGGTATTTTCATTTTTTTTTTATTATTTTTTTGCCAATGCTAAGCTGGCTGATGATGACAAAGTGTGAAAAAGTATTTAAAGTGCGGTTCTTGTTCTTTCGGCCCCCGTCCTCTTCACCCGCTTGGCAGCCTATCGCAGCCTCCGCCCTTCTCCGCTCCTTGCAGGGAGACCGTGAGAACTGTCAGTCAATAATTTTGACGTTATCTCGGTAACAATCCTTGAGCTGTCTCCGTTTATAATTTGTGACTCAAAAGGAGCGAACGAGAAGGTGCGATAAGGAGCTAAGGTGCGAGACAGGTAGAGGTTGTGGGGCGGTGGTAGCACAGGGTGCTCCAAGTTCATTGCTGCTCCAAGAAATTCAATACGATTTCCAGGCACGTTTTCGGGATAAAGCCCTATTTAAAACGCAGATAATCGATAGGGGATACGTCATATGCATTCCCAATTAGACATTCCCATATTCAGGGATGTAGTTTTAGTGAAATAAAAGGGGTTTCCCATTCCCAAAGCTTTAATATTGAAATTCCAAAAATAGAAAAATTTGGAAAATCTTTTGAAAAAGTTTTTAATTTTTCTTTAATGGACAAAAAAAATGGACAAAAAATCTGAAAAATATTTTGTCTCGGGGTTTTGATGCAGTATGATGAAGAATCGATCCACAAATCGTTTAAGGTACTCCGCTTGAGAATCGGATGAGAATTGAGGAAGATATAGCCATCACCGTGGGCCCTATAGGGGAAAACCCCATTTTCAAGGAATCCCATCACGAAAAATGAACAAAAAATCTGAAAAATATTTTGTCTCGGGATTTTGATGCAGAATGGTGGAGAATCGATCCACAAATCGTTTAAGGTACTCCGCTTGAGAATCGGATGAGAATTGGGAAAGATATAGCCATCACTGTGGGCCATATAGGGGAAAACCACATTTTCAAGGGATCCCATCAGGAAAAATGGACAAAAATTCTGAAAAATATTTTGTCTCGGGATTTTGATGCAGAATGGTGGAGAATCGATCCACAAATCGTTTAAGGTACTCCGCTTGAGAATCGGATGAGAATTGGGAAAGATATAGCCATCACTGTGGGCCATATAGGGGAAAACCACATTTTCAAGGGATCCCATCAGGAAAAATGGACAAAAATTCTGAAAAATATTTTGTCTCGGGATTTTGATGCAGAATGGTGGCGAATCGATCCACAAATCGTTTAAGGTACTCCGCTTCAGAATCGGATGAGAATTGAGGAAGATATAGCCATCACTGTGGGCCCTATAGGGGAAAACCCCATTTTCAAGGGATCCCATCAGGAAAAATGGACAAAAAATCTGAAAAATATTTTGTCTCAGGATTTTGACGCAGAATGGTGGAGAATCGATCCACAAATCGTTTAAGGTACTCCGCTTCAGAATCGGATGAGAATTGAGGAAGATATAGCCATCACTGTGGGCCCTATAGGGGAAAACCCCATTTTCAAGGGATCCCATCAGGAAAAATGGACAAAAAATCGGAAAAATATTTTGTCTCGGGATTTTGATGCAGAATGGTGGAGAATCGATCCACAAATCGTTTAAGGTACTCCGCTTGAGAATCGGATGAGAATTGAGGAAGATATAGCCATCACTGTGGGCCATATAGGGGAAAACCACATTTTCAAGGGATCCCATCAGGAAAATGGACAAAAAATCTGAAAAATATTTTGTCTCGGGATTTTGATGCAGAATGGTGGAGAATCGATCCACAAATCGTTTAAGGTACTCCGCTTGAGAATCGGATGAGAATTGGGAAAGATATAGCCATCACTGTGGGCCATATAGGGGAAAACCACATTTTCAAGGGATCCCATCAGGAAAATGGACAAAAAATCTGAAAAATATTTTGTCTCGGGATTTTGATGCAGAATGGTGGAGAATCGATCCACAAATCGTTTAAGGTACTCCGCTTGAGAATCGGATGAGAATTGAGGAAGATATAGCCATCACTGTGGGCCATATAGGGGAAAACCACATTTTCAAGGGATCCCATCAGGAAAATGGACAAAAAATCTGAAAAATATTTTGTCTCGGGATTTTGATGCAGAATGGTGGAGAATCGATCCACAAATCGTTTAAGGTACTCCGCTTGAGAATCGGATGAGAATTGGGAAAGATATAGCCATCACTGTGGGCCCTATAGGGGAATCCCCCATTTTCAAGGGATCCCATCAGGAAAAATGGACAAAAAATCTGAAAAATATTTTGTCTCAGGATTTTGATGCAGAATGGTGGAGAATCGATCCACAAATTGTTTAAGGTACTCCGCTTGAGAATCGGATGAGAATCGGGGAAGATATAGAATGGAAAATGTTCTGACAACTTAACCACATGCCCTACACCCCATTTCTGGGAACAGCCATCCGATCTGCCGATTGCAGCAATATCCATATGCCCCCTATAAGCTTTCGGTTTTTTTTTCAAATATATGTACATATATGCTTGTGGATTTTTATGTATTCTTGTCCGATATCTGTCTGCACCCAGTCGGGAGTCGAAAATCACCTGCACACTCCTATTTCCAGGCAGCGCGTGCTTTCTGGCCACAAAAAGCAATCGAATTGTTTACAGACATTCTACATTATTTGTTTTTTTATTTTTATAACTATATGGTATGTGTATACAATGTATGTACATACATATAAGCAAGAAGATAACACTGGGACAAGTATTATTTGTGCTTCTCATAATTGTATAACATATCTAACTGGCTTCTGGTATTTAATGTCTTTGGGCAGAGGGAAAGAATAGAATTACTTTACTTTACGGATTAGATCATTAGTTCTTTAAACTAGAAGCTATTATGTAGGATATGATCAATCTTATAAATACTTTATTATTATTTCGTACAACTGTAGCGAAAAACCACTCAAATACTTATGGTTTCTGCCAAAGTTCGTGTAGAGAGACCCCCTCCATTAGTATCCTCGTATCTTATCCAAAACATGTTTCAGTTATGAGACATTTAGATGTCTTGACGCATTTCACTTTTTAATAAAACACCAAAATCTAATTAATGTCCGATCAGCACGACAAATGACTATATCCGTGGGCTGGCACAGCAAATTGGCGACAAAAGGCGACATTGCATTGGAATGGAATGGTTAATCCCCACTGGTGGGGATCTGTGTGTGGTTAGAGATATAGACTTATATCTACGATTTACATGCACGAGTCCACACGCAACATATATATATGATTTTGTGGGTTAAACAAGAATTTTTGAACTCAGCAGCCAGCCAGATAGCCAGTTGGTCGACATGCCATAATTTTTGGTTCGAATTTTTGGGGGGGAATTGCGATGCCGATGCCAATCAAGTTATGGGCCTGACGACTTTGATTTTCATATTACCCGGGCAGAGTCGGGCCTGTCTATCTGGCCTGTCCGTCAGACATTGGCAACATATTCGTATTCCAGTCAGAGACCTGAGAGCCGAGACACTTGGCGACTCACAGACCTGGCCATAACTGCAGTAAATCATTTTACGGGGTGCGGTGCCCATTCTCCAGCCATATCTGCAACCCAGACTGATGCCTCCTTCTACTCCGTCTCCTCCTCGTAGATCAAGCTGCCCGCCTGCGTCGCCAAAGTGGGCGAGTGCGATGATAACGAGGGTGTCGTCTGCGGCACCGACGGCCAGACCTATCCCACCCGGTGCCACCTGCTGCGGGCCCAGTGCTGGGGTCAAGAGGTCAGCGTCAAGTATCTAGGATCCTGTAAAGGTTGGTAGTAAGGATTAAGCTTTACAAAGGTCCTCCTAACATCCTTCTCTTTCCAGGTTGCCTGGAGGCCTTGAAGTATGCTCGCCGGCAGAAGCTCCGCAACCCAAACTCCTTTGTCCCCAGGTGCCGGAAGGATGGCAACTATGCTGCCGTACAGTGCATGGGCAAGAACAACTGCTGGTGTGCCGACAGCATGGGCAGACCCATCAAGGATGACCAATCCACTCGCAACCGTCGGGGCAAGCCGCGTTGCCGGCTGAACAGCAAGTGGCGTCGTCTGGCCCTGCACCAGATGGGCTTCAAGTCGGACACCGCCGCAGCCGCCTCCAAGGGCAGCACGGAGGTGGGAACCGGCGGGGCTCAGCGGACATGCAACAAAACGGATCGTGCCACTTTCAACAGAAACTTGATGCGGATTTTTCGCAAGGAGGCAGTGAACTCGGGTCGTCCGCAATCCATGCCAGATGCCGCTGTCCTGGACTGGAAGTTCTCGAAGCTGGACTCGAATGGTAACCAACAACTGGACCGCCAGGAACTTCGTGATCTGAAAAAGATTATCAAGAGAGTGAGTTTAGTAGATATTAGGATGTAGGAGATCCTTGAATATTAATCCTTATTGGAACTTAGTCTGTCAAGCCACGAAGATGTGGACGAGCCTTTGGGAAATACTGTGATATCTTCAAGGACGATAACCTATCCCGACTGGAGTGGAGCACTTGTCTGGCCAACGATTCAATCAATCGTAAGTGGAACTGATAGCTTTAGGATTAGATTTGTGAGAAGCTAACAATATCATGCCATTATCTCTAACAATTCTCCTGCATCTCAGGTAGTGCCATCATGAACATGCTGGCGAGCAGTCCGCTTCCACAATCCACCCACTACCGCATTCATGGCAACCATCGGGATCATACAAACACCAATGTCATCAGCAATCCGCCCACATACTCCGAGGATGTGAGTGGTAGCGAAGAGCGCGAGGATAACTACGAGGACTCTGGCTATGTGGGCGAGGGCGAGGACGAGGATACCGATACAGCATTTCGATTACCAAACTCAAGCACTCTCATGCCGTCATTATATAGTATGTAGAAACTAACCGAAACTACCAAGGTCCTTAGATGTCCTTACTGATAATTAATTCATCCTTGTAGTGCTTAATTCCAAGACGGAAACCACCAGTCAGGATACGGAAAGTGAGCCCAATTGCTGGATGGATAAGGACGTGGCTTTGGAAGAACAAGCTGTAAGTTTCTTCCAGAAAAGAGTCTTCTAAAGACAAAGATCCTCACTTATTCCTCTAATCTCCTAACCCCCAGCGAGGTGGCAAGAGCCGTTTCTATGTCCCGGAGTGCATGCCGGATGGACGCTATCAACGCATCCAGTGCTACAGTTCCACGCCCTACTGCTGGTGCGTCAACGAGGACACTGGAAAGAGTATTTCCGGCACATTGGTGAAGAACACCCGACCGCAGTGCGAAGAGGAGGTGGTAGTGCGACCCATGAAGGGATGCACTGAACCGCGAAAGACGCAGTTCCTCAAGGATCTAAAGGCCTTCCTTAAAACAAGAATGTTGCCCAGCGGTACCACCTTGTAAGTACATATTTTAGAGATTATTAGAGTTTCAATGAATAAGTGTCCTCCTTATCCTGTAGCTCCAATGCCTCGACATGGAAATCGGAGGATGAGCAGATAGCCACTCTTAGCTTCGTCTATCTGGACCAGAACAAGAACAAACTCTGGGAGCGTCGCGAGTGGAAAGTCTTTCGAGATTTGGTCACTAGTGCCAGGTAAGCTTAGAGATCCTCCTGAAGCTCTCCCTCCTGATCCTCCTAATTTCCATTCCAATCCACAGCCACCTGCGCAGGTGTGGCAAGAAGATGCCCCGCTACTGCGACGCAAATGGGGACAAAAAGATCTCACTGGCCGAGTGGCTCAACTGTCTGGAATCGTCTCCGCGGTTGGAAAAGGCCACCACCGCCAAGCCGGCACAGTCAAGTGGGTGATTATCCCAAGTAGAGTGTGAAGATAGCCAGTTAATCTTTGTGGTTCTGTTTTCAGATGAGACGGTGGCCAGCTCGAAACTCACAGGATTAAATCCGGTGGAGCATTATCTGAAAGATTAGTTTATGGAGGACGGGAGGAGACCGTTTCCCCGATATGTGCTGCTGCTATTTGCTACTCATTAGATGTCGTTGTGCCATGACACACACAAAACATACACACACTACACCCCCAACCACACACATTAGGGTGGATCGATTTTCTTTTAAAATAATTTAAAAATGAATTAAAAAATGAGTTAAATAAGGGATTTCCTTAAAGAAAATATAGTTTCTTTTATAAAATTGTGATTGTAACCAACTTGAGGAGATACTAGAATACTTCTTGAAGGAAATCAATCCACCCTGATCGACACACACACATTCCTAGCATATAGATTCTACGATTTACATGTGTATGTTACTAATTATTAATTAGTGTTGTAAATATTATCTGACATAAATGTTTAAGCTTAGCTTATAGTTTCCTCTTTTTTTATTAATTTACAAATAATTTAAAAAATTTAATTCTAACGCAACTTGGACGCAATTCCCTCGCAGGGAATGAGGTGCAGTAGCAGCTTGGCCGCATAGGCAAGAAGGAGGAGTACCAGTGTGGTCACCTCCATGATGACAAAGTGGGATATGGAGGAGCCAATGTCCAGCCAGGAGCCTTGGTTGCGAACCAAAAACAGAAAGTTCAGGCCCATCACATCACAGATGATTAGCAGGCAGATGAAGATCTGCTGCTCGTGCTGGCGGACGAACTCGCTCTGGGCATAGACAACAGCCATTAGCACCACCACCGGCAGCAGCAGCTTCAGCAGCACCAGACCCATAATCACAAACGGAGCAAAGTGGCTGAGGAAGCACCTGGCAATGTTGGGATCGAAGGAGCTGACGGAGGCAATGTTTCCGGTTCCAAAGAACGAAAAGAATGTGTAGAGGAGCAGGCTGAACGCCAGGCGGAGCACAGAGTTGTCCTCCAGCGAGTTCTGGGCACTCAGCGAGAGTCCCAGCTCGATGATGAGCAGCTGGATGAAAATTGCTTCGTAGGATGTGCACAGGGTGGCATATAGTGAGCCCAAATTGAATCCGATCTGAGCCAGACGAGCCTCCAGTCGCGTCTCCTTGTTCAGCGCAATGGAGATGAAGGCATAGCCCAGGAACAGCCAGCTGGCAATCTGCAGGGGCACGGGTATGTTTATCATATTGGTGTGGAGATAGGCGCACACCATGGTGTTGACTAGGATCAAGGAGTTTAAATACTTTGTGTGGTTGCTGTAGTAGTTCCTTCTCTTCTCCGCTGACCACATCGCGTTGGCGAGTATCAGAATCACTCCAGCCAGCAAAAGGTATCGATTCTGGTAGCCAACAGGGATGGGGAGCAACGGAAAGCAGGCCAGCACCAATACCAGAGCTAGCCATGTGTAGAACTCCGTGGACTTCTTTGGAAAGTTGCTCCATCCATTGTAGCAGGCGAAGGCCACGTAGCCCAAAGATATCAGTCGCCGCTCAAAGAAGGTAAACACCATCAGTTCGGCACAACCGATGATAAGCAGAATCTGCCACTTTGTGGTCTGACCGGTTAGGGAACTATACACGTTCTGGCTGGCAGAGGTGGATCCTTTGGGACTTCCTGGCTGCAGAGCTTTCAACCAGACAGGCAGCGGTAACAGTAGATAAAAAGATATAGCTAGCGGAGCCCGCTGCACTATTAGGAACAGTACCAAGATGAGAAATGCGCTTCCCAGGCTCAGTCGCACCAACCGGCTGCTTCTATCCAGTGTCGCCTCCAATAAGCTAGCTCGATTGTTGGAAAGCAGTCGGTACAAGTAGAAGATCCATCCACAAAACGTCAAGGTGGTGCTCAGCAGAAGAACCCTGCGATAGTAGCCGTGGTAGTAATCGATGCCCTCCAAGGCCTCCCACATAACCAATTGGCTGGCGGCCAACGAGTCCAAAAATTGCCTCCGTTTGTGGAATGTGAGAAAGTTAGCTTTGTACCGTCCAATTGCCTGGGTAGAAAGAGCCCGGAACTCGGGTAATATCTTCGAAAAGAGTCCTTTCATGTGCTGCTGCTGGAGTTTCGTGTACTGTTCCAGGAGCTGGAGAGCATTGACGTGGGCAGCCGTGGCCTCGTATTCCGAGCTGACGTTCATGAAGCCAACGGGCAGCATACCAAAGTTGTTCATTGGTGGTGGAACGCCAAGCAAGGAGGACATAAGAGGCGTGAGCTGGGCCTGCTCCACCTCATGCAGGGGCATTGGTTTGTCTCCTTCGTTGTAATTGAAACGCCGACCAGGATGGGGGGCTACCCGAGAAACCCCGGCGCCCCACAGCATAAATGGGGTGTCTGTTTCGTGCGGCGTACCAGCGCCATGGGAGCCTGAAAGCGTAATATACACGTACTTAAAAGTAATCCACTAAGATATTGGAATACATACCAGAGTCGGTCATTCCATGATCAGAAGTCAGTAAATAGGTGGTTCGCTTATCAGGAAACACCTTCTCGAACTCTTGATAAATGTCGTAAATGCCACGCTCAGTCTTTTCCACATTCTGGAGGAACTTCGGTGTCCCAGGTTTGTGGACGTGTCCGGCCGTATCCAGTCCCAGAAGATGAAGAAAAAATATCACAGGTTTGACACTTTGTAAGACTTTTCCTTTTCTTTCCAACAGAAGTTGAACTTTTTTGAGGACCCAATCGTCTAGCTGGTAGGTTTCGTATCCAGGCGAGAAGTCCAGATGCTGGGTGTAAGCTCGAAAGTGCTTATTCTTGCCGTTGGACAGTCCTTCAAACACGTCAATGATGTCCCCGGCTCCCCAAGAGTAGGCATACTCAACTCGATGGAAGATCGTATCAAAATCGACGGGATTCTTCTTCCAGCCGCGCAGCACCGCCGAAGGATCTTCATAAAGTCCGGCCAGGAGGGCTATGTGTCCGGGGCGTGATTCTGTGGGCACATGGGTTCGGGATACTCCAACCAAGCCCTCACGCGTAAAGATCTCCCGCAAGTGCGGTACATTAGCGCAGTTGTTTTCGAAAAATGAGTCGGCGCGGAATCCATCCGTTACGATGAGCACAAGACGTTTCGCCGGAGCTTCCAGCCCGTACGACAAAAGCTCCTTCTGCGGCTTCAGGCCCGTGATCACCGGCGAGCGGAAGTAAATCACAAATATGGAGCCCAGGAGCAGTACGTGTACCACCAAAGCGTACACAATCCACATCTCGGCTCCCAGTTTGATTTTCAAATGCCGAACAGCTGTTTATGGAATGAGTAACGCCTCGCCTGCTGATATCATTTATTGGAAAGTAACTGGAAGTGATAACAGAAGTTATCGGTAAATCTTATCGCGGTTTCTTAAATAAATGAGAAGATATTATAACAAATAGTCTGATATAAACAAAGATAAACGTTTTCTGAATCTTGAATCTTATTTTTTTATTGATTAATTTCGTAGTCTTCAAAAATGTAAGCTTGAAAGAAAAAAGCTAAGCGGGTGGAACCCGATTCCGATAGATTGCATACTTCTAGGTGTTATGTTATCGGTTCGTGCGTGCCATCACTAGGTGTAAAAATGTCAGCGGCACGTTTATACGCAGGTTTTCGTTTATTTTCCTCGAGTTCCATCAACCGCAATGCTGTCGGTGGCAAGAGCCTGGTCGAGGCGGTGGCGGTGACTAAGAACGGCCGCACCATAGTGGCATGGCACCCGGATACACCCTTCCCCTACGAGAAAACCCAACCGCTGCCCAAGATCGCCGATGTCCAAACCTCTGAAGTAATCAAGGAAACTGCTTTGAAGACTGCGATGCAAGCCTTTGGCAGGAAACATCCAGAGGTGTCGCGGCAGGAGCTGATGAAGCTGACGCACACCACAAAGAACCGATGGTTTCCTCGTGCCCGCGACAAGAAGGCGAAGAAGACGCCCATGGACCGGCCATACCTGTAGAAAGTTTCTCCCAATCGTATTGCATAATGTTCTCAATAAATTCGTTAACGTTTTAATCCATGCGCTGGCGCTTGATGAATACATTTAGAAGATCGGAAATGGGAATGTCGGCGGCTGCCGGAGCTTGTGTAGAAGATGTAGCGTTGCGATGTTGCGGGAAAGTGGGCATCATTCGGGGGTCACATGCTGTTGGTGAATACAAGAGAATTTTAGGAGAGGCATCCATTAAAACTAGGTGCTAAGCTCACCTTGAGGCGGGTCCAAGAAGTACTTGCTGCTTAGGCATTCCTCTGCCGTGGCCCTTGTATTGGGATTATAAATAAACAGTATGTTAAGGAGATTCCTGCCTGACTGTCCTATCATGTGGAACTTGGTCTTGAGATTGTTGTAGGGCTGCTGACTCAAAGTGAAGTTCTGCACGGCGGGCAGCTCCGAGAAGCCAGGCCAAATGGATTCCGAGGGAGCACCCAGCAAATCAATGATCATGTCCAGCTGGGCAATCTCTGAGTTACCAGGCAGCAAAGGTTTCCCCAGCAGGAGTTCTCCCAGGATGCAACCAAAGGCCCACATATCCACAGCGGTTGTATGAGTGCGACAGCCTAGGAGTAGTTCCGGTGCACGGTACCACAATGTCACCATCTGAGGAGTCATGGGCTTGGGAGGATGGCTATACATGCGAGCCAGACCAAAGTCAGCTAAGAGAGAGTACAAATTAATATTTTTATCGAGGAATAGCTTATCATTCACTTACCAACTTTGATGCATCCTTTGTCGGTCATCAAAAGATTGGAAACCTTTAGATCCCTATGGATCATATAGCGTTCATGGAGATACTTCAGGGCCTTTAAAACCTGAAGGGTGATGCACTTCACCTCTGACTCGGTAAATGGCTTTGACATGTTGTCCAGCACTGAGGCCAGATCCTGTTCACAGAAGTCCATTACCAGAAAGATGCTGTCCAAGCTTTTTCCCACAACCACTTCCCGCAGACGAACGATGTTCTCGTGCTGACACTGCTTAAGAATCATTATCTCACGGAGTCCACTGACAGGCAGGCCGTCCTTCTCTTGGTCCATTCGAACCTTCTTCAGGGCCACAATTTCATTGGTGCGGGTATCACGAGCGCGGTCTGAGAGATACTGTTTGTATTAAATGGAACCATTGCCGCCAGTGGTTCTACTTACAGACAATGCCATAGCTGCCCTCACCCACGCGGTTAAGTTTCTCGAATTCCGAAACTGGCCGACAACGTCCATACTAAAAATAATGGATTAAAATCATCAAAGAATCAGAAAATCTGACGTGGATTACCCACCAGATTCTGTTCGGGAATTGGCATTGGGGTACCACTGTTTTTGAGGGAAATCAGGAAGCCTTTGCGCGTTATTGGCGCCTGGGGATCCGGAGCAGGAGGATTTGTATCCATATCATTCGATGTAAGGCTTGACATAATTCAGAAAACCGGCATTTAACAAAAACTAAGAAGAATGTTTACATTCAACTCATTAGCGATGACACCCTGCAACTTCGATAACTTTTAAGAACTTTCAGGCTGCTAGTTTGGCGCGCACTTTACATAACATTTGAAATTCTGAACAAAAAAACGCCATCAAACAATTAGCTAAGCCAGGCCTGCGTTTCATAATCGCTATTAATTTACATAAACGTCAAATATGGCTAGAAACCAAAGCACGACTTAAGAAAGTGAAATTGCACTAGTTTAAAGAAATTTCAAATGCATGCTTTGAGCATTAAAAAGTTCGAATTCGAGTTCGTCATATCACCGGTGCCGGCTTCTCTACGCATGTGTGAAAATCTGCGCGCAAAGCCACAACAGTGTTTTTAATTATCACCCTGAACTTGGGACTGGATCGGTATATAAGCCCGGTCCGCAGCTCCAAGCTGCATCATTCAGTTCTGCAGTGACTTACCAAAGCTAAAGGGATACCAGCTTTTAATCTTCAACTTCGGAGACAAAAATAACCATCTATAACCATGCATAAGAATACTATTTGGTATGGAGCCGTGCTCCTGGTGCTCTACTACACCCTGGTCTTTTGCGAGGAGACGGAAAATGCGGAGCCTTCTACCCAAGTGGATAACCAACCTGAGGATACCTGGGAGAACCTGGGCCGGGAGCTGATGGAGTTCGAGGGACGTACTCGTCGCCATCGTCATCATATGTTCTGGTGTAAGTAAAGAATTAGTTTCCCTCTTTTTTTTTAAGAAATCACAATTTTAAAAGATTTTTAAAGTAAACGTAAACCTTATCTAATTTTTATCACTAACCCCATTACTACACCATGTGATTAAACAGCAATAATCCAGGTGTTATCAGTGGAGCATAATTTATATAACAATTAGCGGGTAACTATTACCAGAATACTGATTGTTTGCCCGATCCGATCCCGATAATCACAGCTCTGGGGCGTGTACCATCAATCCACTTTCTTTGGAAAGTTTTCCCCCATACTAAGATGGGGTTCAAATCCCCAGCCAGATGATATTGGATGATCACGAATTGCGATCAATTAACACTTTTCACTTTCAGTCTTGGCCAAAAGATATTGGTCTTCTTTAAAAAATGTAGAATACCCAGAGCAGAAAGTGAAAGTTGTCCGCCTCTGATGCAATGGAAAATTATTTAATTTTTCCTATTTTTATATTTTTAGACCGCCACTTGTGGCCCATTGCGATCGCCTACTGGATCAAGGTGAAAGTGGTGATTGTCTCCTTCTTTGTGGGCAGTGCCATCTACTTGGGTTTCCGCTACTTCTGGCCTCACTCCAGGTGCAATCAGGAGATTATTCTGGATCATCCGTAAGTGGTTTTTAAAAGTTTTCGGCTTTTCAAAGATTTTAATCAAAGGCTTCTCCATGTAGACCCTCATCCTTCAGCCACCATGACCACATTCCCTACTCTCTGGATCACGACCACTCCGATCACTATGAGGGCCCGACTTCCTATGATTCCAGTGCCAGCTTTGAGCCCTACTCCGGCTACAGCAGCTATGCAGGATCAGATATCGTCTCCTCGGATGTCCATGGTGATTATCATAGCGAGGGTCCCACCGGCCCCACTGGTCCCACTGATGTGCGTCGTCGTGGCAGGCGGAGCACTGACGATGATTCTCAAATGATGCAGGATGAGGAGCAGGCAGAGGAGGAGGGACAGGTTGAGATTGTAGACGAGGAGATCTCAGAGAGCGTAGCCCGCCAAATGCCAGCTGAAGAGCAGTAAGTAGTGGAGTTTCCAAAAATTATAAGAACATGCCTTGACTTCCCAAAAACCTCCACCAGAATCGCCGACTTCATGTTCGCCTTTTTGGGTCTGGACTCCAAGGCCTGCCGTCGCCGCTTCGTCTGCGAAATGGAGTTCCGCTCCAAGCTGAACCCCATGACCAGCATGGCCTTCCGCATCGTGGGTCGTGGCTTCTTTGAGAAGTACACCAATGCCCGCAACCCAGTGGCCAGAGCCTCCAATTTTGGCGAGTGCGCTGCCGTTAATCCCGAGTGCATCTTTGTCGAGAACGAAGAGAGTCCAGAGGCGGAGTCCCATCAAACCGAGGATGTGGAGGAGGAGGCTGCCACCGAGGAGACCGCGGCGGAGGACTCCCAGAACGAGATTAACCTGCAAGCGGAGAGGAGAAACGCCCAGCTGAGGAAGCGCCGGGGCGATCGCAAGCTCAGCTCCGTTGCCGAGCACATCCTGATGCAGTAGAGCCACCAAATTCCATTAATCTATGTATTTATATTTATTTATTTTAGCTATAAGAGTGAAGAAGGAACCTAGCATGGGAATAACACACAAAATAAACTTGCCTCAATCCATCAATGAAATATGAACTAAAATATTACAAAAAGTTATTTTTAAATGCGATTCAAAACAAAAAATTAAGGGGGGGAGGGGGCGTTGTTAAAAAATCTCACATGGAAATAGAAAATCGATTGAATACCCGCGCGAATACCTCAAAATGTGACTAAAGGACTCGGAATTTATCGACTAATGCACTAGATCTTCTTGGTCTTTTTCTTTTTGATGGCATTGATCTGGTCGGCCATCTGCTCGATCTCCCGCTGGTTGATGGGCTCGTTCTTGCGCACCTGCGTCTTGCTCTTCTGGCGCTGGGCCACTTCGGCGGCCACGTCATTGAGCTTCGCCCACACAAAGCTGAGGAAACTGGTGGCCAGGTCCTGCTTGAAGAAGGCGATGGCCACAAGGGCGATAAGTATCAGCGCGGAGATGGAATTCTGGTTGAGATCGGCCTCGGCAGCCCGAACTTCTGGCTTGAAGTCCAGTTGAACGAAAACGGATCCCCGATCCGCCACAAACGAGGCCGATGGCAGCTTGTACGTGTAGGTTTTGTCGGACAGGGTGGACTGCAGTTCTACCACATAGCTCTTGCCGTCCAAGGGAATGCGCGGGAAAAACACTGTAATGCCAGGATTAAACTTGGCTTTGGGGTTCACCGGGGTGCCGACTCTCTGGGAGAACACCGGCGAGTCTGAATTGCCCTTGCGGTACATCACAATTCTCAGGGTTTTGTAGTGATCGTTTAATGTGGCCGTCACCCGAGCCGAAACATCCACAATCTTGAGTGGACTTATGGCCACCAGATTGATGTCACGCACATCCTCGCTGCCCACCGACACGGTATGCTCGGCGGGAATAGAGCGGTCTACAGTCTCCTTGTCAGGAACCACCCTAACAGAGTAACTGCAGCCAGGTTGCAGGCCACGGATGCGGTACTGTCCATTGCCCTCGCTGGTAGCCTCTTCCTGCTGCTGGGGGCAGCCTTCATTGGCGATGGCTTGGACATTCACTCCTCCAAATGGATCGCCATTCAGCGAGGTCACGGTTCCAAAAACAGAGTATGCATAACGCTTGCCACTAGATTAAAGAAAAAGGGATTAGTTGGAAAGAACCAAAGCTATCACAGACCATAGCTTACACCAGAGTAACAGGCACAGTTTCGCCATCCTTGATCTCAATCATCTTGGAGTTTGGCTCGAATTTGTATTCCTTCATCATGGGACGTAGGAAATACTGCGATGGGGAGAGCGAGTGGAAGTTGATGGCGCCATTATCGCCGGTGACCAGGTTTTTGCGATAGCTCTCGCCACCGCTCAGCGAAAGGAGCACTCCGTTGAGGGGCTGACCAGCTTCGTCCTTGACAACCACTGAGATCTCGCACAGCTTGTGGGCACTGAACGACGCCGACTGGCGGTTGTAATCGCTGAAAACGTACGACTCCTTTTCGGCCTTCAGGTCAAAGGCCAGGGACTCGTCAATGGGGCCAAACTTGAACTCTCCGGTTACCGAGGTGAGCACCTCAAGGCTCTCCAATTCCGGCTGATCTGGGAAGGACAATGTGATCTTGGCATCCTTAATGGCGGGTACCACCTTGCCGCGCAAGATCAGGCCTCTGGTGGCCACAAAGTTGAAGACAATGTCCACACAATCGCTGCCACCCACAATCTCCTTGACCTGAGGCGCGAAAAGCAACACATCGCTGACGGGGGTAATCCGCAGGACCTGCTCTGGTTTCAGGAAGGTGTCATACCGGTAGGCAAACTTTCCGTCAACCTTGGTGGATTCAGCCACTGGTACTATGACCTCTGTGCCCTGATCTGACTCGAGGACTAGTTTAATAGATTCCGCTGAAGATTCCGTGGACAGGACACGAACTCCCGTCTTGTGGGCAACAGCATTGATGATCAAGGTTTGCAATTGTTCAGGTTCGGGGGTAATGAACTTGGTGGGCAGTGTGCTGTCATAGGTGTGACATCCTTCCAGTTTGAAGTCGTAGCTTCCGTATTTGCTGACACAGAAGGTGTTAACGCCAGAGGCAATCTTCAGGGTTTCCGTTGGGGGCTTAGCGTCAGATGGTCCAGTGATGTGGGTGTAGCGCATCTTTGGGAAATGAAAGAACCTTTAGTATAAGTTCTGACTAAGGTTATGAATGATCCTACCAAAGCCCGATGGCTGGATATGATGGACACTTCGTAGCCCTTGTGCACAAACGGAGGAGCATCTTCCTCGGCCGAGGCCACGTTTAAGAAAACGCGTGTGGATTCGTAGCAGAGATTTCCCTGGGGAATTGTCAGCTCATAAGGTCCCGGCAGCATGTCCTTGAAGACATATTTTCCACCTAAAATTATTTTAAATTTAGAATTCTTGTAGTTCTTCAAAAAAAAATCCCCTTAGGAGTCTTATCACTCGGAAATTTATAGCTCTTCCGAGCTCTTATCATCCCAAATACTTACGGTGGGCCTTGGCCTTCCACTTGTTGTCAGTGGGCTGTCCGGTGGCATCTAGCGCCTGGAGGGTAACCTCTGCGGATGTACAGGTGCCGGTGGCATCGGGCAGACATTGAAGCTCGCCACGGATCTTGGCACGCAGCTGCGAGAAGGTGATACCATTAACGGGAGCATCGCGAACCTCCGTCTGCTGTTGCACCGGGAAGAACTGCACTCCAGAGGCCTTGTCCGCATCCGTAGTCAGAACTTCGATGGTGTACTTGCCCACAGGCAGGAAGGCACACCAGCTGCCGCTCTCAGGTTTCGTGGTAGCAGTCGTGTGGAAGGTGGAACCGCTCTTGGTCAGTCCCACGGAGTGAGATTTCGGAGATACCACCTTGCCGCAAACCTCGTAGGCCGAGGGTGCAATGGAGGGCAGGGAGGCGGTGTTTATCTGGGCCTTCACTTGCAGAGGAGCAAACTGGAGCTGGGGTGATTCCACCTCAATGTTCACAGTGCCTGCTTTGAGGTTTTCCAAAGTGTACGATCCCTGGGAGTCGGTTTCAGCCACTTTCTTGCCATTTACTTTTACGAGAGCTCCTTTCAACGGAGCTCCGCCCACGGCTGTGAAAACCTGGCCCGAAACCGTAAAGCCAGTGATTTTAAATTCGTCTTTTAACTGCAACGTGTCCTTGCCAACTTCCAGCTCCAGGAACTCGGGGCTCATGTGTAGCTTCAGCTTGGAGTCGAGGTTGATGGCTTTCAGGAGGTATTTTCCAGAGGGAACATTCTTGAAAATATATTCTCCTGATTTGTCCAGTTGCGTGAAGCAGGAGGCGGCAGATTCGTAGTCGTTCTTATTATTATTAGCAGGCGCCGTGGAGGATTTATCGCATTTTGGCACAAGAGATTGCTGAAAAAAATATTAAAAATATATTAAAACTATCCATATTTTAGTAATATCCTAAACTTACTCCCTTCTTTTTGTACAGGGCCACGCCTAGATTGCCTGGCAACTGAGAGCTGGTATCGAATCGTCCCACAACATCGAATCCGGAAACCACAAGCGAGTTAGCCGGCAATTCGGTGTTGCCGCTAACCACCACCACGTTGTACTCCGCCTTGGAGAAGTGCCACTTGGCATGCGAAGCCTTGACCACGTATTTCCCGGGAATAATGGGAGTAAAGGAGAAAATACCAGTAGAATCGGTTTTGGTGCGACGGACTTCGCCCTGTTCCGAGCGCAATTCGACGTCCACGTCACGTGCACCGCCGCCGGTGGCCAGAGCCACTTGTCCGGTAATGCCGAAGCCCTTGAAGACAAAGTTTACATCGCGACCCTGGCTGCACACGTCGGTCTTTCCGTCGAAATTCAGCTCCACTTGTTCGGGCTCGAAGCTCCAGCCGGGCGGCGGGGAAATACTGAGCAGATAGTCACCTTTGTCGTAGATGGGAAGGAAGTAGTATCCATTGGAGGGAGAGCAGTCGGTTTTGTCTTTCAGCGAACCCTGCTTAGTCAGGCTGTGGAAATTAGGTTAAACATATACGGGTTAATTTATTATTCAATTAGCGGCTCTGCCACCATGCGCCCAATCTTATCAGAAGAGGGCCGTCGTTGCTTTCAATTGGAGCGGCAACTTACAGCTTGATCTCCACCTTGGAAAAATCGATTTCGGCATGACTTTTGATGAAACCGCCACAGCCGACGACCTCCACTTCGCCGGCAGAGCCTGGCTGCAAAAGTTTAAGTAATAAAATTAAGAAAACGCCGGAAAAAAACCACATCGCGACGTCAGCCTGGCAGAAGTGTTGGTAAGTCTGTCAACAGTGTTAACAAGTTGTCAAATAAATGTTAACAGCTGTTAAATGTTATCTATGGGTTCTTACATTAGCTTATTGATATTTAGCAGAGACTCGAACCGATAGAGTTGCCAAAGAATTTTGTATTTTCTAAGATTTATCGTTACTTTTTGAAATTTTTAATCATAAAATTCTCTAACCGGGAGGCTTTATAAAGAAATAAAATATTAATCCCTTTAAATATAATCTTTTTGGCAATTTCTGAACCACTTACATTATAAAATCGACTGAAATTAGGGATAGCATAATCTTTAATTGCAGACCATTTGGCTCTCTGACATTGAAAACACTTCATTGAAACAGATATAAGCTTGTCGTTTATTAATTATCGGAACGAATTTTCATTACCCCCGACCAAGATAAAGGCCCCACACCCCATATATGTATGTATGTATGTTTGAACATGATATATGTGTGCGAATCAATTCAGGGAAAACCGATCCAAAGACCAGACACAGGCCACAAGCCCAGAGATAAAGCTCCAAAGAAATTCATTCCATTTCAAGCATCGTTGGAGCTATTGAGGCGCCTGTCCAATAAATTTTATCGATGCTCGCGCGATAAACGACTCGGCGCATAAAGAATTTACAATATGGAAGACATTTTGGCTCCACGATCCACCCAGTATATATTCCACTGATCCGAACAAAGACCCAGAACTGTGAATTAAATGCAATGCACTCTCTGTGGCTGCACTCTGTAACGTCAATTACCGACATTGACTTTGAAAAGTGAGGCTTGAGATCGTCTTTAACCCTTGGCTTAAACATGGGGTTTATTTTTATTTAAGAAATATAAAACTTTATGAACTAAGCTAAGAAATTTTTGATTTAACTTTTAAAATATTTAATTAACTTGCGTTGAATTGGATAAATATAAAACTTTACTAGTTTTTTTTTTAAAAATAATGTTTTTTAGAGTTTTTGCAGTTTTCAGCATTATATCTATGTTCTTTTCCAAAGATATCTTTTAATTAAAGTAGTTTTTATAGTTTAAAAAGTAGTTTGTTTCTATTATCTTCCTTTAAATATAAAAATAAACAAATTCCATTATGTTTTTCAACCTAAAAAATAAATAAAACCCTTTATAGAAATATAGAATATTTCCTTTAAAAGTAAAGAAATATATAAAGAACATTATATAATGTTTTATTTTAAATTAAATCCCAAAATTTGAAGTATTTATATAACTGCTAAAAGAACAATAAATCCCGACTTTTAGCAAGTAATTGGTTCTAGGATAGGTAGAGGGTTAAGCATAAAAAGTAGTGCACCGGAAGCCTCACAAATTGCAGCACTTCGCGTGCCACACACTTCCCGACTGCCGATCTCCAGCAGAACTACCTGCGGCTACCTGTTGTCGCCGTCTATTCAAAACTAATTAGCTGGCCAGCGCCAGGGTATTTGCATTCGGTGTCTGGGGTGTCGGATAGATTTACGATCTACCGCAATAGTGCTCGGGAGTACAGTTCTGGAAAGACAGACAGATTGTCGCGACGGTGGCAGATCGGATGGGATCAGCATTCGGCATTAGGTTTATGGCTTTCCCCGGGCCGTAATTAGAAAATCCCTAGTGATAAGCCGACAAGCATACACTAAGTAATAATAAATTCGATTTTAATGAAACGCCAAGCTTATCAAGACATTTAGGTATGCCAGAGACTCCACAGGGTCTTTGGAATTCAATTAGTAGCACAATCGTACTACTGATCGGGGATCACTGTTCAATGGCAAAAAAAATGGTCATAAAAGGCGGTGAAACAAGCCATACAAAAGCAGGAGTGGGGTTGTGAAACCTAACCACCTTTGGAGTGATGCAATCGAGCCACCCCTATGCATACATCCACACACCCAGGGGGAGGTTTTAAGTACTTAGTACACTCACACATAAACACAAATGACAAAAATAATAAAAAAAAAAGAAAGGAAAACACTGCGCAAAAAGTCAAACACGCTTTGCTACTTATGATCGCCATATGTGGACCACAGAAGAGCTTGGAGTACAGTAGAGCTTACTAGGGGTGATTCATAGAGTTATTTGAGACGGAAATGGGTCAGCGAAAGATAACAAACCTATCCGATTTCTTGGAACTTGAATTCTTAGAGCTGAAATACTATATTATGATTAGTAATAATTTTACAGGAAATAAACTATATACATTCCTATCTAATAAAAATATTAAAACCTTTTTTAGCATAGTCAGTAATGATCCTTAATGACAAATAATTGAAAAAAGTAAATCACTTATTTATTTATACATTTCACTTCCCTTAACGACCATTTACCACTGTACCACAACTACAACAACCCTGCAGAGAGCCTTGCCAAAATAATTGCTGAAAGTAAACAACGCAGGCGCCCTTAAGTAGGCCCCGCATCTGCCTGCACACTCGTGCGAGAGCAAGTGCGTCGGTGCGCTCGCGACTCACATTCATTCCATTTCGAGTCGCCGGACCGAGCAGACGTCGAACCGCTTAATAATACCGTTGCTAAAGCTCAAGAACAAGAAGGAGCGCGTGCGTGCATGTTTTTTGAGGCAAACGCGTTAACCGTTCCGTTTAACTACCAAGTTCGTATTACGCCAGCGGGCAATTGGCTAAAAATACAAGACTGCAACGGGGCAGACCAAGGCAGACCGAGCTGATAAAACGAGAAAATTATCTTTTTTGTTGTGAGAGTGCAAGCGAAGCAAAACTTGTTCTAGAAAAAGAAAATCTGAAATCTGAAATCTGGTCTAAAGTGGAAATTATATTGTACAGATCAGTACTATATATATATAAGCATCTCAAAGTGCAAAGCCGAGTGTTTTTTATCTGATAGATGTCACATCTTATCTTAAGCTGTCTGTGAGTCTGTTGTGTCAGTGTATTAGTGTATCTCATAAAGCTCCAACAGCTGTCGAGTGGCCTTGAGTGGGTGGGCATCAAGAGCATCTCTCTAGTTCTTCTCTTCCGCTCACAGTGATCATCAATTATGACGGCCGAGACCCTCAAGCCGTTCATTACACCAACAAGTGCCGTGGATGATTTTCCGGCCAAGCCGGCCATTACGGCCACTGCCCAGCGACGTACCCGCCAGCTCATACCCCTGGTCTTGGGGGTCATTGGTCTGGGGCTGGTCGTTGCCATACTCAGTTTAACGGTAAGTCGTGTAGGGAGGTACCTATACCTATACCGATATATCTTTCATTAATTTCATTCAGAAAGTTAAACAATTATAATCCATTAAAAGCTCAATATACCCCGTGTGGCACATCCTAATTCTCCGGAAAAGATGATTATTTTTTTATTTACAAAATCTTAGTTCAATAAACATACAAGCATATATGTTTGTAGTAGACCCCTCAAATCCCAAAAATAAAAAAAATATATATAGCGCCAAAAAAAAGCACATTATTTGTCTTTAATTAGAGTACTTTTTTCTTATCACTTGGGCCTTGTTATCATAGTCATAACACGAAAAATATGGCATCAAAACAGGTCTCATGGAAACCGAAATTAGATGAAAACTGTGAACTGAAATAGATCTTAAAATAGGTTGAAATTTTAAAATAATAATAGATATCTAGCATGACTAGCATTCTAGGAATTCTCGCAGGTGTGTAAAGATACTACCATTGATTGGTGGGCGTAGTACTCTAATATAGATAACAAGAATTGCCTTAATAATTAGTTGGAATTATGGGCCATGATTTGAAATATGATATACATATATATTTCTTAAGATTCGTCCCTGAACTTCCTTCTAGACTCTCCACAGACTTGTGATTTCTTAAGAAATGTTTATTTCAGTGACTTGAATCGCGAATAAATATAAATGCAAATTGGACTTTAACAGAGGCAACCATATATATATATATATATATATATATATACCTGATTTATGTTCATATATGGACACCCCCGAAATCGCAATCTTAAAATGAATATTTAACCTCTGACATGCTCCTGCTTATGTGAGATACTTCTCTCTGAAATTGAAATTGAAATTAAAATGCCCGAAGAATAACAGACTTTATGATCCGTGACTATAATTTGGCATCAAACTATATTTAGATTGGCTCGGCATATAGCTTTATAATTGATATTGATCTGCAGATGTCGTCACCGACACGTCTTTGGGCCAAAAACGCTTCCTAATGGCCGCGGTAGATCCAAACAAGCCGACAACAACGGATGCAGATACATGCCATCCCATGCCATCTCAGTACGTGGCGAATGTTTACACAAGCTGAGATGTATCTCAGTCGTCAGTGTGAGATACTGAATTGTTTTTTTTTTTGTTTGCTATTGTTGTTGTAGCGATTTAGTTGCGTCTGAAGTTGCTTCTTCTCTTTGCATTCTGAGTTGATAAATCTTGGTGATGCACTGAGAGAAATTAAAGGGGGTTTTGGGTTCTAAAGAATTAAATATTGTTTCTAGAATTATTATATAAATAGCTAGCATGGCATAACATAGTCTAACTTAGTCACCTTTGTAGGGGAATTTAGTGTGTAGGTGACCTACCTAGTCGTTATAGCCTTGTCCGTTTGTCCGCGTGTCCGCATAAATACCTTTTTATGAACTACTCCCTCAGTTTCAAAGCTAAAGAACCCAAATTTTAAAGATGGTTTTCTGATTATTAAACGCTCGTAATACTATAAAAATCGGTAAAAAATATATATATTTTTTTACAGTATCCAACTCCATGTATACTATATCATGTTTACTCTGATAACTTGTCGTCTTTTCTAGGAACTCTGCGGCATATTTTGCAATGCAAAAGAGCTCTTCCAAAGCTAAATCTTGTGAATATATAGTACATATATGTACATATCCCTACCATAAATCCAGCTTGACCCACTTAACTGAACGGAAATCATACAATTGTCAATTGCAATTGGCTTTGCTTTTTTTTTTGGTTTTCCTCATAAATCTTTGTTAAGAGGTGGATTTCAATTCAATGCCCCCCTGACTTCCCAACCAACCACATCCAAGAGATGACCCTCATCCAAGGGCCTCCTCGGGAAAGTGACAAACTGCAGGCGCTATAATCGATCTGAAGATCGAACCGATAAGCCCTAATGGAAAGTGGTTTACTGTGGAATCCGAATCCAAACACCAGCCCAGGCGACAAGAAACAAGTTTCTTAAGCCCATAATTTATACAAGAATTCAGTACAAGTTTTTTTTTTACTTAAGTTGAGCCATTTGGGAGCCGAAATATGAGAAGTGTATGTACATACATATATGTGGGGATTGTACAAACATACTATATAGTAGTGGCTGGCCGCCCCGAATGTTAATGATCCATTAAACAGATTATGTGCCTGAGTGGCGATGTCGGGTACCTCGGGGTATTTCTTTACGAAATCTTTCTCCGCCACCGCTCTATCTGTTTCTTCACTTTACTATATATGTATATATGGTTTGGGTTTTTTTTTTTAAATATTTTTGGGTGTCAAAAGTTCACTGAGATGTTTAATGATGTGCCTGGTTTAGCACCAAACTATAGGCGTTTAATTGAAGCTGATAAAAATTAATTACCAAAAGTTTAATCAATTAATTCTCATTTTTTACAGATCTGGCAGACCACGAGGATCTCGCATCTGGACAAGGAACTGAGAAGCCTCAAGCGGGTCGTCGATAATCTCCAGCAGCGATTGGGCATCAACTATCTGGAAGAGTTCGATGAGTTCCAGAAGGAGGTGAGATAACATAAACATCAATATAATCCAAAATATTAGTCTGAGGTAAATAGGCTTTGTTTACCGATTCTAAGAGTATTTTTGTGGCTTTTATGATGGCCAGCACTTGAGGCTTTAATTCTTATTTTATATCTTAACTAATAAACAAAGCAGTTTCTATATTGTTTTTAATTTTGGGATGTTTGGGTATAAAAGTATAAACATTTCTGGAAATATTTTTGAAAAGAATACCCCATCTGTTCTTTTTACAAAAAGCATCTGGGGCTATAGTGAGAGATTATCCAAAATTGTGGCAGAGAAACACTCTATTAATTTATGAGATACAAATCCCCAAGTGACAACCAGGAAGGTCTGATATATACATTTATCCGTTCAAGGCAAAGCTATAGACTATATAGACTATAAGTGACGATTGATCTGATCTCATCAAAACGGCCTAATGGCCAAAGATCGCTTTAAGATTTATTTATATTTTTATGTTTTTGCTTTTGTGGGGGCATCTGTGGGGCACGCCATTCTCTAGAGAGCTTCGATATGAACATATATATATATATATAGTTATTGTAGTGCTGTTGGTCCGAGGCAGGCGCCATCAATTAGAGACGATGACGAAACGAGTTTTTGGCGAGGGCGCGTGTCTAAAAATGAAACGGGAGGAATGACTCTCCACTGGCTGCAGTCACGTATTTGTGGCCAAGTGTTTTGACCCAAAATGTGTTCTGACCCCTCTCTCTTGCAGTACGAGAATGCCCTCATCGACTATCCCAAGAAGCAGGATGGCTACACGGACGAAGACGATGATGCAGATGGCCTGGATCCCGATGGCGAGGACGACACCGACGATTGGACCAGTCCCGGGGAAGAGGACGATGACGATGACGACGATGATGACATCGGCATGGATTATGCTGAGTACGAGGACATGATCAACAAGCTGAAGAAGGAGGAGGAGACCACATCCGAGTCCAGCACTATAACCACCGATGATGGCGACAACACTTCCGCCTCGTCCTCATCCTCGGCCTCGAATGATGACAATGTCTACGAGGACTTTACCAACTTTAATGCCTCCCGAAAAAAGAAGGATAGGTGAGGATTCTCTAAAGATATATATAGAGTTATGTTCTCTATAAGGATTACTTTTTTTTCAGAAAATCCCGTTCCATTGCGGAAGTTCGCAAAGATCTGCAGACGGTGATGGCCAACCAAACCGAATTGGAGGAAAAGTCCTCATCGGAGGCTGTGTCCAAGGAGAGGTAAGTGGTTCTATAGAGGGTAGAGAGTACATATATTTCATAATGTATTCCTAGCAGTCCATCCCTGCACCATCGTCGCCGTCTCCGGCATCGCACCAGTCGCCAGCGCAGCCTGGTCCGCAAAGGTATGTATTCCAAAAGGGAAAACCATAAAAAATGAAACCACAAATACACTCAATTGGCAGTCAATGAAAACTCCAAAACTCTATCCGCAGGTGACTCTCTTATTTCAGCCAAATCCGTGAACAATCCCACGTCCGGAACACCAGCCGCCCACTTCCACTTGACGCGCAAGGTGCCCCATCACCAGTCATCGATTCAGCCCACCTGTAAGTTGAAACTACACGTGTCCTTCTCTTATATCCTTACTAAACCCTATATCCTTTAGCCTACAATGGAGACATGTACATAGGCGATGCCCACGATGGCTCTGGCAATGATTGGCAGAGGCACTTCACCATTCGCGATGGCGTCCTGACGGTTCACCAGCCTGGCCTATATTACGTATACGCCCAGATCTGCTACAACAACACCCACGATCACAATGGATTCATTATATTCCGCGGCCATAATGCATTCCTGCAGTGCCTCAACACAGTGCCCACCAACATGGCCCAGAAGGTGCACACCTGCCACACCAGCGGCATCATCAACCTGGCCGAAATGGACACCATTCACCTGAGGGACATACATCAGGATCGTGGCACGGTGCTGCGAAACTCCAATAATCGCAGCTACTTCGGTATCATCAAGTTGTGAAGGAGGGGGGATTTGGGATACAATCCCCGGAGGAGGCCAGAGGAGGAGGACACACCAGTCGCCAGTTTTTTTAAGCTTTAGCTCGTGAATGCGTAGTAGCTCGTAGTAACTAGTTTTAGTCACAGCTCATACCTAATCTCAATACGAACCGCACGAAAATCATATTTATTTTGTATATATACTCCTTCGAAAAGTGAATAAAATTATAGTCCAACATAAGACCAAATCAAGGATGCTTTAAGGTCAATATTTGAATGACCTTTGAGGGGAAATTCTTTAATAAAGAATATATATGAAAACTCTTTTAAATAAAAAGAGAGTTTGAGATGGAAAATGCTTTCAAAGGGCAAGTGCAAAGCATTGTAACTGGAGGAGCCGGAGGAGTGCAACGTTTCAGGGCTTCTGCTCTGAGCTGAGATTTTCCAGCATTTCCATGGAAATGGAACAAAAGCACCCCCAGCAGGCGTTACCCAGAAACCCCCATAAAGGGCACCTGGCAACCTGGACAGGATGAGCGGGGGGATTGACGTCAAGTTGATTGCTGATGCGTTGCAGTCATGTGAATATTTGTAAGGATGTGGGGGGTGGGGGGCACACAGTACATAGCATAAATAAATAAGACTCACATGGCCTTAAAAATTCAATTAGCAGATTAATTAATACGATGTGGAGTTCTTTAGAGGTTCTTAATTATAATTAATAGTATATAAATAAGAAGTACATATGTAGGTAGTACCTTATATATACCTTTATATAGTTATATAGTACATATTATAGTTAGTAGAAACCCTTAGAAAGGGTTTACCTTTATTAATTATTAAATTTTTAACAGACTTTTATGTTAAAATAATTTAATATTTGTTTTAATATTCACTAAATTCCTATTATAATTTGTGTAAATATTTTAATATTTAAAATTATTTCATAACAAACGCTTCCATTTATATATTCAAGCTGATTCATCTCAAAACTGGGCCTTCATGTCGTATGAGTAATGTTCTTTAGATTATCTTGCTGGTTTCCCCCGACAATCAAAATTTATGGAATTAAATATTTTAAAAATATATATTATGGCATACTATACTTATTCTAAAAGCACATTAATCAAATTAATTATTAAAATATAATATATTTATTAACAAAATGTTAGTAGCCATCCAACTTGGCCTACAGGTCGTATGAGTGATTATTACGTGGCTTATCTTAATATCATTTTTTTAGTCATGGAGAGGATATTATAAAATGAAACGCATTGAAGGACACGACATCTTAGACCCTATAAAGTATATATTCTTGATCAGAGTACAATATGTATCATACAGTATGTATATCCGATATTTGCGATATACATATAAGTATGAATATCCCTAAATTCTTGCAAGGAAGGATCCTTAAATATCCTCAATTATGAACTATTAAGGGTTAGAAGTATTATTTAGCTTAATACTTCTATAATTTGTAAAGGAAACCCCGTTTTTTTATAAATTAAAAATCTGAAAATGTAAATATTAATATTTCCATTGCCTACTTTTAGGGCCGCCTAGAAGCCAAATGGCAATAAACAGTCGAATTTTACCGTTTTTTTGCATATGATAACATTCCAGAAAAAGCTTTAATTTGTTCACTATTTTATAATTTTTTTTTTAAATAATTAATTAAATAATAGCGCCCTCCTCCTCGATTCTCATAGGTTGCACTTAAGCAGGCCTGGAAAACCGGGCCGGCAGATAAAAAATAATTTTTTTTTTTTAATTTTTTTTCTTCTTTGTTGTAGTTTGATGATGTTGTTGTCTTTGTTGTAGTTTTATTTTGTTTTTGTCTTTGTTGTAGTTTTATGTTGTTGTTGTCTTTGTTGTAGTTTTATGTTGTTGTTGTCTTTGTTGTATTTTTATGTTGTTGTAGTTTTTGTTGTTGTATTTTTTGTTGTTATAGTTTTGTTGTTGTAATTTTTTGTTGTTGTAATTTTTGTTGTTGTAGTTTTGTTGCTGTAATTTTTGTTGTTGTTGTAACTTTTGTTGTTGTTGTTGTAACTTTTGTTGTTGTTGTTGTAATTTTTTGTTGTTGTAATTATTTTTTGTTGTAATTTTTTGTTGTAATTTTTTTTTTTTTTTTTAATGTAATTTTTTTTTTTTTAACATTTTGTTATAATATTTTTTATTGTTTCGATCAATAAAATCTTCACAAATCAATTAGAAAATCCATCAAATAAAACCAAAAGTCTAAAAATAAAATAGTTCATTACCTCGCAAATCACCCAAAGAAAAAACCCCCCAAACTCACACACACTGAGACCTAAAAACAATAGTTGACGGAAATAATTGTTGAGCTCCAGCACTCGCAACTTGAGTCAGAGTAACAGGTGTCCTGGCAGGACCTGTATCTGCTCTATTGGCACACCCACCCTTCATCTCCGGAGAGGAGCGTTGGAGAGCAACAGTTCGTTCCCGGAATTCGTACCTACTACTAGGCTTCATATGGTTATGCTTTTGGCCTGGCCAATATGTTTACATAAAACCTCCCCCCTCGGCCATGCGCACTGGCCACGTCCCGAAATCACTGGGGAAATGTCAGACGGTCGACGGGAAGCTTTTTGCCTATTTACCTGGCGGGAGTTCTCCGGGTCCCCGCGGAAAAGTGCATCCCCCAGCCAGCCACATTCGAGTGCATTATTTAATTTAATAACCAAGTCATTGTGTTTGCAGTGCGATTGTGGTATCGGGGCAGTGCAGTTCGTCGGGTCGTGTTTTGTTTGATTCTTGATCTTCTGGGAGTCCCTTTGGCGTGGGATGGTGAGTAGGTGGATGTTGTGTCCACTCCAAGTGACCTTGACCAGGGTACAGTCTGCTTAACAAGTCAAAAAGCCAACAGGTGGCCCATGCAAGAAGGGTTCTTTAATGTTTACAGTATTTTTATTAATATGATTAGTTTAATATACATCTTTAGTATACACTTAAAAAAAATGCTTTACACGTTTATATAATTTTGAAACTTAAAATTTGTTGTCAAGTCTTTGTCCGACATGGTAATAATTCCAAAAAACGATCAAAACAATCCAGGATCGATTAGTTATTCGTAGTTATTCGATCAACTCATCCTTAATCCTTGATCCTTGGTCCTTATCAATTAAAGTCACTCCTTATTCCCCGCCCAACTTGGCCTGGATCTCGTTGAGCGTCTTGCCCTTGGTTTCCGGCACCAGGAAAAGTATAAATACAATTGCGGCCACTGCGAATCCGGCAAAGATTCCAAAACAGGGACAAGCCCCCAACTTTTCATTCAGGATGGGAAACAGCAAGGTGACACAGAAGGCAAACACCCAGTTGCAGGTACCGGCTATGCCGCCGGCCAAGGTCTTGGCGTCCTCGGCGAAGAGCTCCGCATTGACCGCCCAGGGAATCGGTCCGAAGCCCAGGGAGAAGCCAATGATGAACAGGCACAAGGCGACTAGGGCCAGCCAGCCGATCTTCTTGTCCATCAGCATGCCGAAGTACAAGCACATGGTCAGGGTGCTGAGGCCCATCATGAAGGCGGATACCAGGAGCAGGATCTTTCTGCCGACTCTTTCGATTAGGAATATGGCTGTGACGGTGGCAAACACCTGGACCACACCGATCACGATGGTAGCGAAGCGCGGCTCGAGGGTGGATCCTGCCGCCTCAAAGATGGACGTCGAATAGAACATGATGGCATTGATGCCGGTCATCTGCTGGAACAGCATCAACATAATCGAGATGAAGAGGCCCTTCTTGGTGGCCTTCCGGCACATAGCCTTGCCAATGGGCTCCTTATCCTTGTTGCTCTCGGCGGCTATTTCCTTCATCTCGCCGCTAACATCCGCATCCTTGCCGCGCAGGTATTTCAGTGACTTTTCGGCCTGCTCGGACTTACCCTTCTGCTGGAGATACACTGGCGACTCCGGCATGAAGAAGAACAGTACAAAGAAGATGATGGGCCATACGGCGCACGCAATATTGAAGAGCATAACCTTGCAGAAGGCTCCGGCCACAAAGGCGTACAGGATCCCATGGACGACCATCAGCTGGAAGAAGCAGCCCTGTATCCCGCGGAATCGCAGCTCAGCTATCTCCGTATTGTAGACGGGAGCGGCCACACAAAACGATCCACCACAGAATCCAACAACAAATCGTCCAATGAGCAGCATGGCGATGTGCAACGGATAGATGATGCACGCCCATCCGAGCATGAAGGGAATGACCAGGCCCAACATGGTGATCTTGCGGCCGATCTTCGAGATGAGCACACCCACCGGTATGCAGGAGAAGGCGCCGCCCAGAGTCATCAGTGATCCGGTGAGACCCCATTCGACGGTGTTCGGTGTGAAGTTGTACGCCTTTCCCGCCTTAACCTCCAGTTCCACGGGTCCCGACCATCCGATCACACAGCCCAGACAGAAGGCGCCCAGGGCTGCGATCAGGCCGGCGACGAATTGCACCACGACTCCCATCTTGCCAAGAGATTACAATTTTTTTTATTTTTGAGTGAAATGAAGCGAGAATTTTTACAAATTACTTTGATGGGCTGGGAATTTTGAAAACAAATGAGAGGGAAACGTCTAGTTTCCGGTCTATAAGATTGAAATATTTTTCTAGGAATGCTATACTATAATGAGGATCTATCTAGGAAGTTTTATAATATAATACTTTCATGACGTTGCTTTTTAAAATGTTTTTTCAATTCACAATTTTATTCATATATATAAATTATTATTATAATTATACATTAAAAAGTATTTAATATGGAACCTAACCAATTTTTAATATCAAAATGTTAAACCTAATTTCTTGCAGTGTATCTTTTGGCCAACTTCTCCTTATCTCCTGTCTCCTTCGAAAGCTAACACAACTGCAGCTGTAAGCTTTTATGCTCTCTTTCTTTCATTCTTTCACACTCTCTCTCTCATGCCACCTCCTCCCACAGGAGCTCCCCTACCATTCGGGTGCCTCTCTTTCCCGTTCGGGTGCCTCGGCTTCGTCTCCTGTCGGTGGCCGCGAGTCGTGTATAAATTGTGGAAGCTCCAGAGGATGGCCATCACTCTGGGTTCCGCCTTGGCCGTGTGGAAAGCCTGGCCCCAAAGCAAACAGTACCGTTTTCTACCGATACGAGTATAGCCTTTGGTGGTGTTGTTCCTTGGCGTAGGCGTGACGCCATGTTGTGAAAAGTGTCTGGGAAAAAAGTGAAAATTTCGCACAGAGAACTGCACTCGAAAGTTGAAAGCAAGTGAGTGGTTGAAATAATAGAAACGATATAACATTTTCGTCGAGTGTGCGATTGTTTGCTGGCTAACCAGTCAGGGGGGAGGGGCCATAAAAATTACGCAAATACTGCACAGTATTTTCCATTTCCATTGATTTCGCTTGTGGGCGTATATATATATGTATATGTGTACTGTTGCTGTGTGCGTGGGCACTATAGGTGGAAAATCGTCAAACAAAATAATTGCGTATAATTTATTTTTGCAACTCTCTGTTGTCACTAATTGGACATTGTCATTTGCCATCCTGTGTGATGAATTGTTTGCTGGCCTGTTGACAAATGCCTCGGGTACTTACCCTCCACATATTTCCTCTGAAAATCTGATACACACACATACAGTATGAGGGGTAGAACGGGTCACAGAACTTGGCTAACAAGTTGGTAACTGCCCGAGGACGGGACCAGTCAGTCCTTTTAAATATTTTAAAGGCAAAAAGCTTCTATCCGGCATCCTAATTAGCCACTTCCTTTGCGGAAAAAATGCATTCACTTAGTCGCCGGCAAAGTGCCCGATTCAATTTGGCCCAATTTTCCTTTCTTTTTTTTTTGGTAAGAAAATTGGGATGATAGGGAGTGTATCAACCTACATATAGTACCCTAGTGTAGCCATGGTTGCTGCGACAAATTCAATTAGAGTGCTAATTTAAATGCCCCGCTGGGTCGCATTTGTTCTCTTTTGATTTATGGGTATAAAAGGTCCTGGCTCTGTGTCCTGTGTCCTGTAACTCAATAAACCATTCGCACTGCTGCCCTCATTTGATGTTCCAGGGAAATTCAAGAAAATATCAACGTCAATCAATATTAAATCACTTAAGCTGTCAATGCTAAAGGTCACTTTTCTTCAGCAAAACGGGGTTTTTCATATTTAATGAAGACCATAATAGAAAAGGTAAATAATCTTGGCTAGAAATCTGTTAATAGAAGATGGGATTTGTCTACCATAGTTCTAGGTAATTCGTATTTATCAGCTATAGATAGCAAATGAGAATATATTGAAGGTAGGGCCATAAATATCAATCATACGCCCTGTGAGCAGCTTAGGCATGCCTGTATTCGTAGGAAAGAGGCTATAAGTCATTTTTAAAATAATATTATGAACTCTAGACTTTTCTGCTAAGTAAAATGTGTAATAAACTCGAATATTAAATAACTTAAAACCACAATAAGCTTGTTAGAAACCAAATTATTGTCTCTAAAGTTACAAAAGTTCATCTTGAACTCCCGAGAAGTGCAGCAGCAACAGGCCCAACTTATGCAATTGAAGGGAAATGAAATTTTTTGCTTTATGTCGGGGCTCTTAATCTGGATTAGAGTTGAGAACCCCGACCGAGAACAACAAAAAGGCACCACTGGGGGACGGGTTTTCTTAGACAAGAGTCAGCCAAGCGGCAATAATACAATGAAGGCAGCAAAAACAAACCAAACAGCTGCAGGCGAGACGCAAATAAGGCTCGCTTCGGGGGAAAAATGTAAAAGGAAAACCTTCTTGCCTTGACATTTAATAGCAAATAAAAAAAAACAGAAAAGAAAAGAAAACTGTGGAAAATGAAAAGCAAATGTTGCCACAGGTACAAGATGAGGGAAGATATGGAAAATAGAGTGGTATGTAGGTGTATACCATATGATTACCATATACTTCTGGGAAGGCAAAGCCAAAAACATTCATCGGTCCACTCGGTCGAGTCGAGAATGTGTAGCATACTTATGCGCGCCGCCATAAAGCCAAGAGGATAAGAATTCAAGGAGCTAGCTGGATGAGCATTTCAATGGCATTTGGCATTGCTGCCGGGCCGAGGAGCAATTCAACTTTCCCATAATTGTCAGCTCGGGCTTTTGTCAGCGACAAAGAATGCTGAAAGTCACCAAGGCACGAGGCAGGATTAAGGCGGTAGGAGTAAGGATAATACAAGTTCCGATGAAGTTTCCTCCTCTAATTTGCCAACGATGCTGGGAATGTGCACGCACATTGGAATTTTATTGATTTATACGAGATGGGGACTCGGGATCCCTTTTTAATGTATATTCATGGAGGGATCAGAATTTGCTTCATTAGTTAGTCGGTCGGATGAGATGGACGGATTATTCAAATACCTTTTTTAGTCAGGAATTTGATTACCTGCTGTTGTTCCGAGCTCCACCGACCCTCCACCTCGTTTGCATAATTAAGCGAGGCAATATGGAATTTCACACGCCATCAAACTGCCCGCGAAAAGATGACACCCGATACACACACACACTTATATACACACACCACTACAATGAGGCACACACACTCACACACAGAAGCACATAAGGTCCTGCTTTAAAGTGCAAATGTAATTAAAAGTTTTTCCCAACACACCTTTCTGAAACGTGTCAGGCATTAAAATCAGCTTTAATGCCTTTTTATTTTAACCGATTTTCCGACTTTTCTTTTGTCCTCCTTTTCCCTGTAATTTTTTTCCTTTTGAGTTTTCATTGAAAGGTAAAATTGTAAAGAAATGTCGGTTATCAGTGAGGTTGCTTCTTTATAAAATATACAATATTTTTATTGACGACTTTATAGCTAAAAAACGACTTCCAAGAATAAATATAGCTTTGTTATTTTTTATAAAAGAGTCTTGTTATAAAGACCATGATGGTATTGGTTCGGTTCTACGAAAGCTATAAAAGAAACGCATATGAGGATTTCTTTTAGAATCTTTATTCCATAAAATAAATACTAAGAAAAGTCTTAATATTTCTAAGAAGTATAGTGGTTTATTGAATTATAGATTGGATTAGGTAATATAGTGCCAATTTTGTGTCAATCTTTTGGAAGGACATGACAAAATCTTCTTAAAAGCTAATTCTGATCAGTAATACAAAGTTTATAATGATATTTTGTAAACTGTGTCCCTTCATTTTCCATAAATCTTTATTAAATTCCTATAAAGTAAGAAAAATGAAACAATACTATAGATAAATGCCCAACTTTAAGAAAGCAAATCCATTTAATAAATTATGAAGAATGAAAAATTAGTATAGATAAATTCCCAACTTTAAGGATGCAAAACCATTTCAAAACCAAATAAAACTATCTATTATACTTTTTATTTGATAACCCCATCAATAAAAGCCATTATTTATTAGCTTTCACAACCACAAGCACAACTACAAATACTAATATTGATTTATTTAATTATTTTTTTTTACCAATTTCAGATTTAGAAACAGAACCAGAGTCCAGAGTGAGAGAGAGGGAGGCTAGCTAGAGAGAAATGACGGCCAACCGAGTTGTGGGTGGTGCCCTATCGATGGTGGCGCTACTGACTGCGTTGGTGGTGCAGTGCATCCTGGCGACGCCACAACGCACCGCTGCCTATTCGCTGCAGGCAGCAGTGGACGAACTGCATCGTCGGGAGGCGGCCAAGTACCCGCTGAATGCCCCTCCCCCACCGGCACTTGACGACTGGGATGAAGGTGAGTCTTAACTAGTTCGTATGATGGGTTTTGGAGTAATAGTATCCCCAGGGCATACAGAAGACCTTCAACTTTTCGCGCACAGGCATAATTTAATCAAGGCAGTCCCCCAAGAAATAGGAACTTTGATTAACCTACGGGTGGAGGCAGGATGAAGGATTTTAGTTTCTTGTATGAGTTTTTAGAAGATGGATTTTACAAACCGTAATATATTTTAATATATTTAAAAATACCCGATAAAAATGAAATCCTTAATATATCCGATTGACGCAAAACCTGATGGTGGAAAACAAAAAAGGAAATACATTTTATTGCGTTGGATGGGCTGTCAGCAACATGTTGAAGATATATACTTAGATATATGTATATATTTATGTACGAATATGCAACCGAACATGTCCGAATCCTGAAAGTGATATCCTCTGCAAGGATATGGTTAGAGTGGGGGATATAGGGAGTTGAAAGGAAGGTGACCCGCATGTAACATGCACGTGCCCTGAAAGCAAGACCATAAGCACGGATTTTATCCTGCCCCAGCTCCACCCTGCTCCCCTTAGCCCGCAGCACTGGCCAAGTAAAAGTCACATTTTTCTTCCGTTTCTGTTTCTTTTTTCCCTTTTTCCGGCACACACACATATGTACGAACACACACTCACACACCTTGGCCGGCCGAAACACACACACACACAGATGGCGATTTATTTGGCAAGAATAGAAATCGGAATCGGCATCGAGTTAATAAGGCACTTGGCAAGTACTTAGAACGCGACGATGACAACTACGGTCCAGATCACTTAGGTCTGGACTTGGGCAGGGAACTGGGTCTGGGATTGGGTTACCAGAACGGTGCCAGCGGTAATCGCCTGCTGGGCAATGAGAAGCGAAAGCGCCTTTCCGCTTTTCGGGAACGTGCCGAGCACTTCGGTAAGTAAGAGACCACTATGCCGCACTAATGCACAAAAACAACAAAAACCCCAAAAAAAAAAAAAGCACATACTTGAAAACGGATACGGAAATGCACAGTAGAGGCCATTTAAATAGCACTGCCAAGCAAAGAAAACTAAATAGAAATAAACTTGCACTAATACATAAGATTATAAAACTTTATTGTTTTTTTGGGTTAATACTTTTGCTTTAAATACTTTTTTCGGTTAATAATTTTTTAAGCATGGTTTTTGATAAATTTCCTTAAAATTAAATCCTCATAAATAAAGAAAATCCTTTCTCAAAGTGATTTATTTTAAATTCTAAAGCATCTATCCTATCTCCTAAAGCTTTCTCTTCAAATAGACCATAAAAATAAACCACTTGTTATACTATTTTGGCAATCCAACTAGCCACACATTTAGAATACAAAGAGTGCTATAATTTATGGATCTAATCCTTAAGTGCTATTATCCTGAACCCAACTGTACACATTCGGAGATGTATGTCTGTCCACTTGAGAGGAAGAATTGAGTGGATAAGGCCAACAATGGCCTGGCTAAAACCACTTAGCTCCGATTAACTTGTGAGTGGGCGAGTGGGTGAGTTGGAGAGTCAGTGTGGCGGGTCCTTTTTAGGTTCTGAGGCCCTGAGTGTCGATGATGAATGCAATCAGCTGGAAGCGTTCAAAGGACCGGCAGATCCCGGCCCGACTGGCTGCCTGTCTTCCTGTCATTTGATTTAATGGCCGCTCCAACAACTTGATGCATGCCCCACGCACACACACACACACACAGCCTCGTACTCGTATTTGGCCAAGATTTATTGACAGCCAACCTTCTTTCAAGGTCAAAGTTGAGTTATTGTAGAGTCCTTAAGAAAAAAATTTACTTAATTGAAAAGGTAATTCATTTTTATTTTCATTTTCAAAGTCAACTTTTATTTTCTTTGTCCTGGATTTTACAAGGGGGTCCATCAGAAAAATTTGAAAAATAGGGATGGAAATTTTTGTTTCAAGGTTTTGATGCAGATTGGAGCAGAATCGAACTAGAAATCGTTTAAGGTACTCCTCGCAAGGATCGGATAAAAATTGAAGAAGATATGGCCTTGGTTTGGGGCTACAAAGGAAATCCTGGATTTCACAAGAGGGTCCATCAGAAAAATTTTTAAAAATAGGGATCGAAATTTTTGTTTTGAGGTTTTGATGCAGATTGGAGCAGAATCAAACTAGAAATCGTTTAAGGTATTCCTCGCAAGGATCGGATAAAAATTGGCAAAGATATAGCCTTGGTTTGGGGCTACAATGGAAATCCTGGATTTCACAAGGGGGTCCATCAGAAAAATTTGAAAAATAGGGATCGAAATTTTTGTTTCGAGGTTTTGATGCAGATTGGAGCAGAATCAAACTAGAAATCGTTTAAGGTATTCCTCGCAAGGATCGGATAAAAATTGGCAAAGATATAGCCTTGGTTTGGGGCTACAATGGAAATCCTGGATTTCACAAGGGGGTCCATCAGAAAAATTTGAAAAATAGGGATCAAAATTTTTGTTTCGAGGTTTTGATGCAGATTGGAGCAGAATCAAACTAGAAATCGTTTAAGGTATTCCTCACAAGGATCGGATAAAAATTGAAGAAGATATAGCCTTGGCTTGGGGCTATAAGGAAAATCCTGGATTTTACAAGGTTTCCTACTGACAAAGATATAGTTATCCCCGGAGACACATTGTGTCTTCCCTAGGTCCTAGTTTGTAGAAAATCAAAGATAGTTTCGGGTATCATATCGTCAATATCAAGAGGATGTACTCATTTTTTTAAACATCTTTAGTTTCTGGCTGATTTACGCGTTTTTAATGCCTATTGTTTTTTGTAAAACTCATTTTTAAACATCCAATCTAAATATTTATAAATATTTTAAAGTGATTTAACCTTAATAAAAAAGATTTCATCTAAAAAAAGGATAAATCAAAACCTTAATAATAAACTCTTAACCATACTATGTTTTTTCCACAAATTTATATATTTCTGGCACATTTATTAATGTAAATATGTGTGCTTTGAATATTTTGAAATATATTTTTATAATATATACGTTGAATATTTTAGGATTCTATAGCCTTTAGTTATATCTCAACCTTACTTTCCAGATGGACCCGTATCGTCGGTCTTCCGTGAACGTGAAACTCAGCCATTGAACGCAGAGCCCTCGCGCAATGAGCTGGCGGATCAGTTTCTACGCGAGATCGAGGAGGCTCGGGAACGGGATGCAGTGCGGCAGTGGTGGCGCCATCTGGATCAGGCCAAGAGCCCACAACAGGAACTGGAGGTAGATCCCCAGGACTCGGAACTGTATGAGCAAAAGAAGCGAATGCGAGTGCCCCCCTACTACCTGTTGATGCAAAAGAAGCGATCCTACCCGGTTCTGCCATGGCTGCCGTATAACGGTGACAAGCGGAAGCGATTCCCGGTGGCCAAGCGGAGTACCAACGCCCGACCTGAATCAGGACCATCGGGCCAGACCGATGAGCGAGTGGCCCAGGAGCTGAGTGAACTTTTCGGCAAGCCAGGAGGAGATTCGCGACCACATCCTGAGGAGAAACGCAAGCGATCGGCAGATGATCAGTCCAAATCCGCCGTAACCACCAATCAGCCGGACTCGCCAGCGGCCACCGCCACCGCTGTGGGTGATATGCGATTGGAGATCAACTTCCAGCGGGTGAATGTGACCAGTGTCGCTCCCAAGGAGGCCTCCACCTCCGCTCCCCCGGCCACCGGCGAAATGGTGCAACACGGCGGACATGCCGGACATCATGGCGGCCATGTTCCGGGCATGAGTCCGGAGTATCGCCACCGGAAGCGCAGTGACCACGCCCATGCCGAGAACGCTGACGAACCGGAAACCGACGAGCACGACGAGGAGGGCGAGGAGAGCTCCGATGAGGATGACCACGACGAGTTCGACGAGGAAGATGGCGAAGGTGACGTCGATCCGGAGGACGCTGAGGAGCGGAGGCGCAAGAAGAAGCGAGCTGCCGCCACAGGGAACTCGGGAATCGGTGAAGGTTCCTCCAAGCACATCCATGCCCCCACCGTGGGTCACCTGATGCTCCGGGCCAAGAAGTCCATCGACTGGTCGCAATACTTTGGATTGGATCGCAAAAAGAAGTCCTCGACAGGAAATGAGTGAGTTTGGAGAGGCTTTATAAGAATTTGTAGTATAAAGTATGACCTATAACCCCTTTTTAGACAACAACTGAAAAAACGCAGCGATACCGATAGCAGCAACAATAATGACGACGACGAGGAGGATGAGTCCTCGGAGGCGGAGAAGAAGAAGCGTGACTTCGATACCGAAAAGCTGGAGAGCATGGACAAAAAGCTGCAGTCCATTGAGGACTTTATCATCGATGAGACCATCAAGTATACGGGTGCCCATGAGGGTCTCAACAGTCGAGATGATATTCGCAGGATCAAGGACCATGTCCTTTCCCGTTTGGCCACGGCATACAGTCTGGAGAAGATGCGTCGGGCATTGGATAAGCTAAGGCGTTCCGTGGAAGCCGATAATCATCTGATTCATAATAAAATAGAACCGGAATCGGAGGAGAACTCCCTGAACTCCAACTATTGGCAGTCGAAGAAATCGGTGAAAAAGGAGCAGGCTGAAGAACTAAATGAGTAAGACACTAACTAAAATAACTAGCTATTAACTAATATTTGGTTTAATCTTCAGGGAGCCCAGGCCCCCCAAGGACATGGAGAAAAAGAAGCGCAGTGGCTATCTGCGTTATCCGGAGCAGCCCAACACCATGGACGAATCCCTCAGCCTAGGCAGTGTTCCCTACGAGACTCTGAATGACGCCTACCTGGGCAACAAGAACTACATAATTGGCTCCAACCAGTGCCCCATCATCGAGTCCATGGCGGAACGTTGTCGGGGCGTGGATCTCATCTCCGGGGATATTAATCAGGAGCTATTGCCTCTGTGTGGAGTTCATCAAATTTGCTATCTCTGTGTAAGTAATGGAAATATTTTTATAAAATTTTGTCAAAAAGGACATACTATTCTCTATCTATATCCTTTTTCCAGGGCGCCTCCCAGGTGGCCTGTGACTACCAGTATCTGGCCGAGGCGGACGGCATTTGTGGCGGCAGCAACGACTGCCAGTCGGCAGCTCGCTCGATCCTGATGATCCTGCGAGGAGCTCCCGGTCGTCAGCTCGGACCGCGTGAGTGTCTGAAGAATCCTTGCCTGTACAGGGCGATGCGAGAGATCGGCCTATAAGCGGCTCCCAGTGGACAGCCCTGGCCAGTGTTTTCCTAACGTCTTTTTGTGTGCGTTTAAAAACAAAAACAAAATAAAAATAAATTTAAAAAAAAACATCCGCGACATCCAGAATAAAAACGAGCCCAAATACAAAGAAAAAAATAAACCCAGCTGAACCAGCAAAGATCAAATAATTGATTCAAAACCGAATAATAAACTGAAATAGTCAGAAACAAAGTGACAAAAAAATATTTTGATGGATTTTGATATCTGCAGGCAACTAGAGTTTACCAGATACCTAAAGAGAAACATATATATACATATATATATATTATATACAAAGGAGGAAATAATTCTGTTCATTGCAGTAGGCGCTAATGAGAGATTTAAATTATTTTAAATGTTCAGTGTCCAACCGAATTTTTCGAAACATATTTGCAACTCAAATACCATATATGCGTGTTTAAATGTACAAAAGTGATCATAACCGAAAAAGAATATATATATAACCAAGATATATACATAAATACATGTAACTAATTGCCAGCTTTTAAGTAAATATTATTCGCTTGACATTTTGATGGAAGGCTCATATGTGGCTCACATTGGCAGCTAAAATGGTCCCTAGTCCAAGTTCCAATACCCAAAAATCAAATGGCTTCACTTTGGTTCGACTTGGATTCGCTGAAAACTCAAAACAATTGATCGATTTTAGAATGAAATCGAACCAATTCACATGCAAAATAACTAATATGCATAACGTTTTATAAATGTGTTTCAACGTGCATACAATAAATGGACATAACTAAGACAAATATCTAATGCTCTAATCTATATATTAGATGTGATTAAATAATATACACAAAGGAGTTTAAATAAATTTATAAACAATAATAAAAAACAAAAAAAAAACCTTTTAGTATTTGCATATGCAAGGGCAGCATTTAACCAAATCTCAACAACACCGAGATCATTGGTTGCTAAATCAAAATATTTAAATATTTACTTGTAACGAAAATATATTTGAACTTGATGTATATGTGCTATCGTTTGCGAAACACAAGAAAATCATATTTGAAAGTATTTATTGCTATACAGTTATCATAAATGTCGAATATAAATGTGGGACGGTCCCTAATAACCATTATGTTTTTTATTGGGAACTGGGTAGGTCATCAAAGCAAAGGTTGTCATTCATAACACAGAGTCTCAGGCAGTTATCATCAAAAATTTTCATAATGGATCTTTCTGGCCAGTTTGTAGTTCCACCTTTAATATCGGATGTTCCCTCAAAACGCTCGGAATCTTACCACCATCTTAGAATCCTCTGGAGCCCAGTCTATCGACGGGCTATATCAAAAACAGGGTCTTCCACCATTGTCTCGAAGAACGTGATGAAGAACTTAAAGAAGAAAAAAAAAGTGGAACCCTAAAATTATCAGTTTTTTTCCAAATTTTTGTATAGCCAATAAATATGAACACGGAGAAATCTAATATCAAGCCAAATGCTTCTTTTATTTAAATTCCTAAGTTAAAGACACATTAAAAAGGACTTGAGTTCATAGGTTGACCGTTACAAAGCTTTTAGGTTCAAAAAAATGAAACATTTTTGAAACTGGCGGTTTTTCTCTAAAATGGCTAAAAATAGCCATTAAAAAGCTAAAGTGGTTGTCGCTGGGGGTTAGCTTTAGCACTTTCCAACACTGATAAGTACAATCGCAAGCAAAACAATTTGCGCTGCAAGTTTATTTATAAATAAACTCGAAAATATTGTTTAAAAAAACCAAAAAGTGCCTTGATTAAGATATAAAATTAAAACAAACATAAAAAAATACAAAAATTATTCAAAAGATTACGTTATCTTGACACATTTTTGAAACCACATAGAAACAAAACTCAACCATCCCACCCTCTGGTAAGTAAGAAGAAGAGCGACCTATGAGTCATCGCTAAAACGGGTTATCTTTGTTTTTTCTTTTCGTTTTATGTGGAATTAGTGGATACGTCACTCGTCAGATACAGTAAACATGAAAACCCCCGTTTCCGCTGCCGCCGCCTTGGCCAACTCGAATAATTCTGGCAGTTCAGCAGCAGCTTCCGTGCAGATCGTACCTAAAACCGAACCAATCGGAGACGAAGGTTCCTCCATGTCGCTTGACTTTCAAACTCCTGGTCTCACCTCCACCCCGAATCCCAACAAACGTCCTGGCTTCCTGGACCTCAACAGCAAGGGTGCCAAGCACAAGAGGATTATTACGCCACTTGTGATCAACTCACCGGATCTTCAGGCCAAGACCTTGAACACACCCGACTTGGAGAAGATTCTGCTATCAAACAATCTCCTCCAGACTCCCCAACCCGGCAAGGTGCTGCCCACCAAAGTGGGACCCGTCACATCCGAGCAAGAGGCCTTCGGGAAAGGATTCGAGGAAGCCCTACAAAACCTGCACACCAACTCTCAGGCATTTTCTGCAGGGAACACAGCTGCTGCAGCCAACCCAGCCGCCACCACGATGACGGCCGTTAACAATGGTATCAGCGGCGGTAGCTTTACATACGCGAATATGCCCGAGGGCTTTCCAGTCATCAAGGACGAACCTCAGAACCCAGCTGGCTCGCCCACCGTCAGCCCCATCGACATGGAGACGCAGGAGAAGATTAAACTGGAACGCAAACGGCAGCGCAACCGTGTGGCTGCCTCCAAGTGCCGCAAGCGTAAGCTGGAGCGCATTTCCAAGCTAGAGGATCGCGTCAAAGTGCTCAAGGGCGAGAACGTGGATCTGGGTAGCATTGTAAAGAGCCTCAAGGATCATGTGGCACAACTGAAGCAGCAGGTGATGGATCACATTGCAGCCGGTTGCACTGTGCCCACGCATCAGAAGGCAGCCTTGCTTTCGGACAAATAGCATTTGGAAATTGCCGAGGAGCCGTTGACGTTGCCACTAGGAGAGGATGACGATGATGAGGCGACCCTAGTAGAACAGCAGGATAATGACGCTACCGAATTGGGTGTGCCTCTCGAACTACTCTTGAGTGCTACGACAAGCGCCTTGGAGCTAGAAACCTCGGCTTCGAACGACATCTCCCTGAACGGCAGTGACCTTTTGGAAGAGGAAAGCGAAAACGACCGGCCACTGGTGCTCTTCGTGCTCTCAGATGATGGAACCTAATAGTTAAGGATGTGCCTTTCTCATAAAACTCTACGCTTGGCATCTGGCAACGGCCTTTGATTTGCTGCAATATCTGAAATGCTTCTTAAGTGTTTTGTTTAAATAGTTTTTAGTCGTAATTGTAAATTAATCAAGTATTATCGGTGTTGAAAGTAGCATGTTTTTTAAAAATATACGTCTTTGTATATATATTTTAATTACTTCATATATACATAAAAAGTTACACCTAAATTTAAAGCTAATTTATTCATCATCCTCCTCATCGTCATCATCATCATCATCGTTATCGTCCTCCATTGCCTCTGTGGCATCCTCCTCCATGGCACTGTCAGCCTGGTCTTCTTCGTTCACATCGTCTTCAACGTGTAGCTGGAAGCCCTCGGCCTTGGTCCACGAGCACTTCATCGTTAGCCGGAACTTGGCCATCGGCTTCCCCAGCAATTTCAGAATACGCGCCTGCTCTGGAGTCAGAACCTTGCCCTCCTCGCACACTGTATAATCGCTGTAGATGGTCACTACGCCCTTTTCCAGTTTTGTAGGCAGGCCAAGGGAACGTAGATGCGGCTCCATGGAGTGGGCAAACTCCTCGAGGGGTCCAGCTGCCAGAGTAACTGTCTCCGTTGCCACAAATCCACTGCGAGCATACTCTACGGCCCAGTAGTTCTCCGCCCACTTCAGAACTTCCTCCTTGGATTTGTCTGTGAAGAGAAGACCCACCTGTCCGGTAAGGCGCTTGGATAGCTAGAATGAGAGCTAGGGATAAGCTATGTCCTTTCCATTTAAACCATAATAGTCATTACCTTGTGCAAATCAGGCTCAACTTCCTCGCTCTTTTTGCGACCCAAGCCGATCTGCATCACTCGATTTTTTCCGAAAATAAACCGCGAATTCTTTTTCCATTCCTGTCGCAGGTCTTTAAGAAGGTTGTTTCGCATGTTTTGTACTTGAAAAACAAATATGTTGGGATACTTTTCCACGCAGAAGCGAATATCGTCGACGATTCTCTGTTTCCATGCCAGACCTTTGCGGTCGGTTTTGGTCAAAGAAACTAAAGGACAGGAAGATACAGTATTAATTCCACTTTTTTATAATAATATATTTAAGGACTCACCTTTCTTATCACGTTTGGAGCGGGGCATGTTGGCGGGTGTTTAGAAAAGTTGTTTTTTAATGGAATCTAGAAAGTATTTCCCACACCAGAAGTAAACACGTGCGGCTAGGTAGAGATGGTACTTAGGGAATATGAATCCAACAATTGTCAGTCACTAAAACGATAATTCATCGTACCCATCCCTAATTTCAGATTGAAGTTTTGCAACACCCCAGCAAGCCGTTAGACAACTCTAGAGGATTGCGGTTTCGTTATCTGGCAACACTGTCGACAAACAACAGCTGCGCGTGAAGAATTTTGCCGAGCCACAAGAGGTGAATTAACTAATTATTAATTGTACCGCAAGTTAAAAAAAAGTCGTAAGTTTAGTGCCGAGTGCTTTAGGAATAGTTCTAACTTAAAAATCAACCCGAAATTGCGGACGCAGTGAGTAATTCAGCCTTGTGCGTCGCTGACCGCCATGTTGTCGGCGGAGTCTCAGTTGCCCCCAAAATAGCTGCGCCCACATATATATTTTTATCGATTCGATCGCTCCTAATTGGATACCAGGGGGCCGCCCCACCGGTGGAGGGGCGGGGTGTCAAATATTGGGCGGAAGCTACGTGCGAAATGCGAAAACGCCATTTGAATCGTCATTACAATCGCACTTGTGTGCTCGAATAGGACGCCGATGACGTAATTTTTCTCCGTCTTGTTCTTTTGTGTGAATATGGGCAGTAAAAAGTAAACAGCATTGCCAGCAACAAAAACTTTCTCATTAATAGTTTTCGGTTACTCTTTTAAAAAGCATAAGCCACTACTGATATCTCGCTCTCCAATTTAATGAAAACCACATTAGAATTAAAGCAATTTGCGCCTTTCTTATCAATAAGCCCACATCTTTCGATTAGTTTCCGTCTTTCCAAAGACCATAAAGTTAAGATAAAAGCGTAATCTGGGCGCGCCAGATAAGCGCTTCAAAGTTTCAACAGGTTGGACAAACTAGCGCAGCAGCAACCTTTACTCTGCTGATCAATTATTGATGAAAAAGCTGACGCAATCTGGGAGAAGCATATAGATTGCAGATGTTGAAAACTTTTTAATTAGATAGTGCACGCATTTTATTGCACCTTTTGCAGCCATAAACTTGGCCAATCAATCTTACCTGCAAGCACTTGGCAACATTGTTGCTACCAGCAGGTTGGCAACCCTGAGGCGCGCTCTCTTGAGTCATTCTCAAAATTCACGGGCATGCGCGTAAGTGTGAGTGCGAGATACACAGATACAGCCGCTGCGGCGATTTTAAGAAATCATAAATCTTGGAATTCTTAGAATTATAAAAAAATAATGAATGTATAAGTTTCATATTTATATTTGGTCTTTTATGCTGTAGCTCTTCTAATTATGGGTTATTAAGTATTTTCACCTGATATCTTTATCTCTCTCTCACTCTGCTCTCTCTCATACTTAAAGTCACTCAGAATCTGTGCATATGCGGCATATGTTAACTGTCTGTTAAGCCAAATGCACTCATCGAACAGTATGCTGATAACTGGGGGGCTCCATTCCCCACACCCCCAACTCCAAACGATTGTAAGAGACAAACTAGCAACATGTTGCAGGTGTGTCACTCATGTTTATCTAAAGAGATTTTAGTTCAGTGTTGGTATTTTTCATAGAGTGGCAACTCACTGAATCCAACTCAAAAGCAGAGATATTTCAAGAAACATTGATTTTAGAAAATAAATTTTTAAAGTTATTTAAAAAAATAAACTCTCACTAAAATACAATTTTTTCTAACTTTTTTAAATATGTATTTTAGTATTCAATTATTTTTAATAATTTTTTAAAGCTACTACTACTTGTCGTTGTTACCGTTATTCCACTGTATCGCCATTCATGAGAGGTATTTTTTCTTGGTATTTCCCAGACAGTGGCAACGCTCGAATACTCACTCAAGAGGTGAGGTTCAACTTGAGAAAATTCAATTCAATTTCGACCGTTGCGGAATTAGGTTTTCACCGCGCTGCTTGTGTTTTCGGTTCGTTTCAGTTAATCGAGAATGTAAGTAACAATCTGCTGGGCGAGAGTGTATCTGTGTGAGCGTTCGCCCCCCTCCTGTGTTAGTGTGCATGCCGATGTACATACATATATATGTGTATGCGCTTGCCTGTATTTGTTGGAATTATAAAACGAGTAAAAAAAAAAAAATTGCTAAAATATGCCAGAACACGTGTAAAAATCGTTTAAAAAACCGAGTATGAGTAATCATTTTACATGCATCCATGCTCGGGTCAGCGAAAAGAACAAAAAAAATGAAAAAAAAAATTACATTCCAAGAGAGGCATCGATCCGATACTGAGAAAAAAAAAAATTCTACGCAAAAAGTCAAAAGTGTGAATTTGTGCGAAAAAAAAAAAATTGAGAATAAAAAGAACATTCCCGATTTGCCCGAGTATTGGTGCATGTAGTTGAGGTGATGCGGTGAGATTCATTTGTAGCTTCGTATTTCCCATCATCACCGTCGTTTCATCGGTCAAGTTGTAGGCGGCGGACATAGCCGACATATACATACATATAGCCCACCTATATGTTCTTGAAGAATACGCAGAAGATATATCTACATATATGTATTATAACTTGGATGGGGACACGCGGTTAGGTGTGTTTCTTCCAAACTCAACACACTTTGCAGCCGACTGTGGTAGATACATTTTGGGTTGTGTGTGTGAGCCGAGAATGTATCTGTATATGTGTCGTACGCCGTTCTCTTCTTAGCTGCTGCCATGCCTTTATGCTCCCCGTCTCCTTTCCACGCTCCTCTTGGCTCCCGATTATTTTTATAATTCTGTAGCGCCGCACTTGGAAACACGATTGCTGCCCCACCACTACGCACAAAAGCCCCCCATACGCACACTCACACTCGAGTCAGTCTCCCCCCCTTCTCTATAAAAGTTAGTAACTTTTTTTTTTCTCTCTCCCCGCGTAAAGAAATGTATCTACACATGTAGAGGAATTTCTACATTGGGGTATTTTTCGTTTTTTTTTTTTTTGTTTTAAGCTACTGCGCATGCTGTGGCCAATTCACCGTTGGTTGGCCCATTCGGCCGGCGCACACACACATGTAGCTAGCACGCACACAGATACACAGTGCCGTCATCGTCATTTGCCGATGTATGGATTTTGTGTTGAGTTTTCTAGCCGGGCTACCCTCTCATACCCCCAGAAACCCCTTTTCTCCCCCGCAACCCACCTGTATTTTATTTTTTGTGACCAATTTTTAATTAATGTATGCATTCAAGCAGATGAGCAATGTTGGTCATCAGCTCCACTTTTGTCTCTGCGTGGTTGGGGCAAGTTTTTTTTTTTGTGGTTTTTTTTGGTATTTTGGGTTTGTTAGTTATTTACTTAACACTGAAGCCCATTTAGGGGAGTGCTGTGTTACGCCTGGCTTAATGTTTTGGCCATTTGGCCAGACCAGACCCCAGAAAAACATGTCAATTGACCTAAAAACGCGTTTGCCTTGCCCCCTGCCACGCCCCTTGGTCTCCAAAAAACAAAGGGAATGATTTTTTAATTTGGCGGTCGGACTGGATCTCTGAATGCAATTGGGAAAATTTTTATGTTGCTTTGTTTTCGAGGTTTGCGATGGCAGCCAAACAAAATGTTTTTTTTTTTTGTCCAGAGCACCGCCGACGTTGTCTAAAAATATCACCCAAACCCGCCCACATGCATTTTCCTATCCCCACACTCGCACTCACACACTGGTGAGTGGTAGTAGAAGAACCCACCCACCTCCACTTCCACCTCCTCCTTCTTTTTCCTTTTAAGCTTTCTCCAGGCCGAGCGGAAATTAATCGATTTTCCACCACACCCCGTCTCTGGCCAGGAAATTGATCCTAGGGATCCTTATTATGACCATGTCTTGGGTGTGGATTAATAGGAAATACAATTCCTTTGTCTTTCTGCCAATAACTAAGCGTATTTAATCGATGACAGTTCATTTAGCAAGGAAATAATTGAGTGCGTCACTGTCTTGCATACAAACACGTCCACAAAAAGTGTCTATCTTTGGCCCACATACAAACAAAAAAAAAAAAAAAAAGATATCTAAAAAATACATAAAGAAACGCATAAAGACGAGCCGACTTTTGCTCCAATTCTACCGCTCTCTTCTGGTCGGACTCTCTTTTGAAATGGTTTCTTTTCTTTCAGGATTTATTTTTATCGTTTCTGTTGTTGAATTTGTTTGTTTCTCTCATTTTCATTAATTTTGTATCTGTCAGATACGATCTTTGCTATGAAACTCAGCTTCAAAAAAGTTGCCACACGTGCAGCCATGCCATGGTTTTATTTTTTTTTGCCTTTTAAATTAGGCATTCCGTCAACGATTAGTCAATAAAGACTTGACTGCAAATCCATGACTCATCCATAAGCTCTAACAACACTTTCGTCAAGCGGCGGAAGCATGACAACAAACAAAATTCGTACAAAATACCCAGGAATATTTTCAAGTCAGTGCAGTTGGGGTATATTAGACTACCATACCAAGATATAGCTGGCAAGTTTTTTGAATTATTTCGTTAACAAATACTCCTTATCTTCTGAATAGTTTTATAATTAAACTTTATTATATTATCTAGTATCTTAAGTGCTAAAATACCCCGAATCTCTACTCATTTAAATAAAAAATTCGCATATAACATTTGGCTGGTGTGTGGCGGTTGCACAACTTTTGCTCCAGAGCTCTCTTAGTCAGGTGTTTTTGTCACCGTTAGATGAGATAACGGTTATAACTCACTGGATATACCTTCTCTAAGATCTTGTTTACCTTCTAATTTATTGCAGAAAGTCATTGGGTAGCAACTTTGAGCGGCATATCGAACTCAGCGGCGGAATTTTATTAGTTTTTGTGAAGTAACCTTAATAACAACAAAAAAAAACCAACAAAATGTCGACAGTCGATAAGGAAGAACTGGTCCAGAAGGCGAAACTCGCCGAGCAGTCAGAACGGTAAGTCCTTCCTAATTTTTTTGAAGAATTTTTATAATAAATTTTTAAAAAACTTAACAGGTACGATGATATGGCCCAGGCCATGAAATCCGTCACAGAGACCGGCGTTGAGCTCTCAAATGAGGAAAGAAATCTGCTCT